TCCTGAATGAGAACAAAATTCCGCCTTCAATTTGCCGTGGTCAATCGTATGACAAAGCTTTAAATGTATATGTCCATGGACGCTCCACTGGATTGCAAGCACGGCTGCGTCAATTGAACGAGTTTGCCGTGTATGTCCCTTGTGCTGGACACAGTCTGAACTTAGTGGGCTTAAAAGCAGCAGAGTCTTGTCTACAAGTTGGAAAATTCTTTGACTTTCTTCAGCCCCTATATACCCTTTTCTCAGCTTCTACACATCAATGGAATGTTCTGGTATCTTCCTTAGGAAAATCTCTCGTTGTCGTAAAGCATCTGTCTGACACAAGATGGTCGGCACATTTTGATGCCGTCAATGTTTCGAAAAAAATACACTGATCAGGAAAAGGAAAAACGAGACGTGAAGAAGAAACTAAGTAATAAAATGGAGAACCTCATAATTTATCATCATCTAGGATGAATTATAATGTATTTCTGATGTTTTAAACCCATTTTGAATTGGAATGATTTTGTTTTTGTATGAATAAGTTGAATAAACCGATTTTTAACTTTATTGAATGTTTATTATTTACAATTTTATTCCTCTTGGTGATTTGGGTTGGGAGCAACAACTGTTTACTCCCTCCCCCCAATTGTTTGAGCATGGGGCGAGTGCCCCACGTTGCCCCCTACCCTCTAACGACACTGGTGTGTTATGTTGCTGGGGGCCCCAGTGTTCTTAAGACGGCCCTGTTTGCGGTCAAAGTTAAGTGACCAAACATTAGACACTGTCATTTTTACGATTTCATTATTTAAATTTGACCAAAGTTTAAAACAACACCAATTAGTTTAATATTTGAGTAATAAAGCTATTTAAATTAAAAGTTAAGAATGTTATTTTTGTTGGTTTGATTAAAGTCTGAAGATAAACGTGTGTTTGAAAGCTTATTAACAATCAAAATGTAATTTTTTTTTCTAAATGTGTTTATTTCATTGATAAATCATCACCACTAATGGCGAATCACGACTAAAGAGTATCGAAAATATCGAAGATATCGAAAATACCGGGATTCCGGTATTTGTAAACGTCAATATCGAAAATACCGGTTTTGGCAAAAGGAACCGGTTTTGTGACCCCTAGTCTCGATGGAGAATCAGAGAATCGCAAAAGACATCTAAATTGGTCGCCTAAATCATAAAAGTAAACAGGTCTGCAGTAGACCTACTACATAATCATAATACAAACCAGTGCCACTGATACATGCACACATTTGTTATTTTGTCAATAACAATGTTTATTAGCATGATAATGGTGAATTTCAAGAAATTAATGAATTGAAAAAGCCTAGGTTTCCTTAATTTAAAAAAAAATGTAAAAAAAATAATAGAGGAAATATTACAATTTCCTAGGATTATTCAATACTATTCACCTTTGCTTATGAAATTGAAGAGCATGATAATGATAAATCAAAATGGATATCACAAATGAATGAATTGAATAAACCTAGGGTTCCAAATTTTATTTTTCAAAAACTTTTTTTTTTTTTAAATAATGATATAAATATTACCATTCCATTTGTTTTGCTTCCATAAAACTGTTTAAATTTGTGTTATGTAGCATACTTTTCCGTGCGGGAACTTTACTTGACCTAAATTAGAATCCTAGCAGACAGTAACGTCTGTTGTGGGCGTGGCCTATTCGTTTGATGTATCTTGTTTACAACCATGTTTACCAATTAAGCATGTTATTCTCTCTCCTGGTATTTTCTCGACTGTGCTCGATAACCCGAGAAATGTAAACAACACGTTATAAGTCTTTTCTGGAAGGCAGGGCTTACGCGACCTATATAAGGGATTGACAGGCACGGACGGGGAGACGGAGATTACGATAAGTTTTATTAACTTCACGAGACGTGTAGACTCTATTATTCTTTGTGTTCGTATATATGTGTTTATTTCGTATTTAATCATTATTCATTGGCACATTATACTAACTGTGTACCGGTACAAGGTCTACCATACTGTAAGTTGATGATTTATAATTATATTTATTTTGTTTTGTTATTGTATTAAAACTTAATAAATCTTAATTAATTGTAACTGGCAACTGTTTTGGGTGTCGTATCTTTAATATTGTTGACTCTATGGTATCGTCCTTTGTTAGGCACTGTTTACAACGAGGCAATAAAATTAAATTAGAAAATAATTTTTCATATTAGAAGCCAGTGCGTAACAATTTGCCTAGGCCTATTTGAAATTTATTTTTTTTGAAATACAGGACAAGTAGGCCATCATGCAGCTGTGAACAGCTTTCGCACTATATTAGTCATATAAGATAGGATGACAGCAAGACGTCAGCAATAATAAATATCGGATTGCCAGCCTAAAGACACACAGACAGTCTGACCTCTGGGGGATGACCGAAACCCCCAGTCTGACCGAAAGTCTCAGTCACTTTCGACCAAAACCAAAATTAAACTGAAAGTTAACTTTTCAGTTTTGGCTGAAACCGAAATTGGGCTGAAAGGGATTAAATGGACACTTTCGGCGCCGAAGCCAAAGCTGAAATTTGGTCCGTCTCTAATGTGACCATTATTTCATGTTACCGTATTTGTGCATAATTTCATGTTACCATTACTTCATGTTACAGTAAGTGACCATTATTTCATGTTACAGTATGTGACCATTATTTCACATTACAGTATGTGACCATTATTCACATCACAGTATGTGACCATTATTTCACATTACAGTATGTGACCATTATTTCACATTACAGTATGTGACCATCATTTCACATTACAGTATGTGACCATTATTTCACGATACTGTATGTTACCATTATTTCACATTACAGTAGGTGACCATTGTTTCAAATTCGGTTAAAGTGGTAATTATTTCATGTTTCAGTAATGTGACCATTATTTCATGTTATTCCTTTATATTTCAGAAATCCAACAGAAGAAACTATCCTCTCATCCTACAAGTGCCAACTGGCATGGGACCAATTTAAAGCAGAGTTAGTGCAAACTATCGTCAGAATACCTGATCCTTTTCTTCCAATAACATATCCAAAAAATGAATTGGATAAGGACCAAAACAAAGAAAATAGGAACAGGACTGAAATCGCATCCACAACTGATAATTGTGACTCAGGGGGTAACATAATAGCTAAGGATAATATCATTCCTACTGAAACAGAAGCATTGGACAGTAAGAACACTATGTCAGAAGTCCAAGCTATGTCAGAAGTCCAAGCTATGTACAGGAGAAGAAAAAGCAATTACTATGAAGACATTGAGTCAGTCAATCAAAAAGAGCTCATTATCATCAGACGCCAACCGTCTGCGGTGAGAAAAAATTTGATAGTACCTAAACGTGAAGATCCACCAAGCAGACTCAGCAGTGCACTCACTCATCGGCGATGAGGAAACATTTGTTAGTATCAAAGTCTTGAGACACACCAATCAGACTCAGCAGTGCACTTACTCATCAGCAATGAGGAAACACTTGAAATTGACAGCATTTCTGGAGGTGGTTACAATTATACGAATTTTAAAAAAAATGAGTTAAAGATGGATGTGGCTTATCTGTGCAAGGAACTTCTGGAGAGGAGAAATTTTCAATTCAAATGAACAAAATTCATTTCAGTATAAAGGCAGTGCTTTCCAGTGAGCATGTGCAACTCAACTAACCATGAAATTCAGAGACTCCAGAAGGTATAAAATACTGCAGCAAGCACTGTATCGCGGATAAAGAATTCTGAACACATCACCACAGTTCTGCGAGATCTCCATTCGGTTCCCGATAAGTGAGTACATTAATTACAAAATTCTGTACCTGGCATACAGCTGCATAGAAGGCTCTGCACCGGAATATCTTAAAGAACTGATTTATAAACATGTATCCTTGAAGAACCTGTGGTATTCAACTCAGTCCTTACTGAAAATTCCCAGTGTTGATGAACACAGAAAAAAGTCTTACAGAGTGTGCTCTTTTGAAGCGCGAGCACCAAAATTATGGAACACAGTTTGCCTCAATCTTTGAGGGGAATTGAAAATGATAAAAAATCATTTAAGAAACATTTTAAAACTTTTCTGTTAAATAGATTTAAGTAAAATAGAGCGCAGTGAGCATACTAAAGTAGCATGGATACCAACGCTATATAAATATCCAATCAATCAATCAAACAGAAATATTTCCATTGCCCTGAGAAATTCATAACAAGTCATTTTTTCATTGTGATTGGTGAAGACACCAAAGTGCCACAACATGGAGAGTAATTTAAAATGGTACTTCTTTGGGATCCAGTTCTTATGTTTGTATGTAACTTATTTAATTTACTTTGAACTTTTTGATGAGGATTTTGACAGTGTGATACAATCTGTGTTTCATTCTAACCGATCTTAGTAGCAGAAAAGCTATGGTGAATAGTTATTACATTTAGTCATGTAAAAATGTACATAGGTTTTTTAAACATGTTTATTTTAATATAAAAAACTTTAATCAGTTTATTACTTGTTATAGTGCATTTTGATTTTAAAAATTCATTGCTTATAAGTATTGTCTATTTTAGATTCTAAATTATATATAACAATCTCTTTGAAAAAAATATTTGATTAAACATATGAAAAGTTGGGCTCTAAAGTACTAAAAGACTCATTTGTATACTGTGTTATCTCCCTTTTAAATTGCAAAGATTAATAAATAAATTTTTTAAAGATTCAAACATAAATTTTATTGGGAATATAATATTTAAAGAAAACATGTTGATAACCAAATTTGTAAGACTATTTAAGAAAGAATAACTCACAACTCAAATATTGTGAACAATTAATTTAGCTTATTTACTAAAATAACACTTATAATTGTATTAAAGTAAATTGACAATTTAGGACATTTGCATTATCAGAGTTAGAGCTTAAACATTGTAGATTCTAACAAATAAAAAGAAGTATTAATTTAATTACAAAATTTCTTCTATATAGAGATGTAGAAATTTGATTATAATAGAAATAAAAAAAAAGGTATTCAAGAAATAATATTAACAAAGTTTGATTAAATAAAAAAAATAATCTGTACAAAATATATCAGTCTTTTGCATAGTGCTTATCTACAATAATCCCATTCTTTCTTGGTGATAGAAGTTATTTAATATAACAAATCAACTAACAGTCTGTTTTTAATAAAAATCCTAAATATTATACTAAAACAGGGTGGATTTAAATATATATATAGAAGAGCATAAAAGGGATTTGATGTTTGTATATGAAACCTTCACTCATTCGCAGAGTAATGCCCCTAGAGTGTGATTTGGAATTAAAACTTTTCTGTCCTTTTTTTTTCCTACTTTTAATTTCATTTTACTACCAATCAAGCAATAAATATCTTACAGCTAGAGTTAACCTCTAATGTCGACTATTGCAAGTGCTTGACCCTTGTCCTGGTGTAATGTCCATTTATATTTATTTCATTTTCAAATGCCACATCTCCATACCCCCTTATTACCTTCCCCAGATGGGCACCACAAAGTTAAAACTTTCCTTACACAACATGTATACATCATTTTCCCTCAAGTGTATTGGAAATTTACTTAAGTGATCTCTCCGTACGAGAGATATTAATACAACTTTGGCAAGAAATTGTAGATGAAACAATTAATTATTATATATTTAATACCTTACTCCATTTGATAATACGTCTAGAAGATCAACAAATAACTTACCTGCTAAAAGGTTAGATAAAGAAATTTAAATGAAAAAATTCTGGACAGAAAAAAAGTGTGTTTTTTTTTAATTTAATAAATAGAATTTAATCAATCATTCTGGGGATAAAATTATTGCTATATAATCAATTTCCTGAGTAGAAAAGAGCTGTAATAATTCTGAATAGCAAGGCAATCAAGTTCACTGAGTGGCTGCATAGATAGTGTGAACATATTATTTTATGAATTTAAATAAGTCTACAGTGCCATAAATATGACAAATGATAAAAATGACAAAATAAAACTACAGATAACATACATATCGCAATAGTAATTTTAACATGTATTGATCTCATCAGCCTGGTTGAACTGCAACAGAATACTTTTGATGGTTTATTCTCTGTTCACAACTTGGTCTGTGGATTTTTATTAATTCGTTGTTGCAACAAAGTCCAGGCCCTCTGCAACTGCATAAGTGGGGAAATAATAAACAATGGAAATTGTGAGCTAATGAAATAAACCAATAAAAACATAAGATGTCTATGAAATTATTGAAAATATTAAATGTATATTTAGTGCTATAAAACTTGTATTTGAACATTACTGGTATGACATTTATTAATACTCAAACTGAGAAGGACAATACATGTTGTCTAATAATGAGCTCTTTCACGTTTTTTTAACTATGTCAAAGTCAATCAGTGCAAGTAATTAAGCAAGATTAGCCTGTCAAAATAAATAAATTTGGACAAAAAAATATCAAGAAAATGTGACAACCAGATTATCAAGACATTGTTTGGCAATGGAAACCAACCTCAAAAGTGGATCTTATTCACCTTTGCCCAGGTTTAAAATTTAGCTAGATCTCATACCTGATTTCTGGTGACCTCAAATTCCCACTGAGGACAGATTACAACATTAGATTGGGCGATCCTTGCAACATTAGAAATTTGAGAGTTGATTCTTTTCTGTGCATCTTCTTGACTAAGCTTATTTCTGGTTGTGATTCTCTTGATGGCCTAGACACAGTTCAAAATGAAAACACCAAAGAAACATGTGCTGTCTAAACCCATTCTAAAGCTAGTTGGTTCATAAGATGGGAAAACCCTGAAGAGTTTGTAACCCACTCATATAATTTGCTAGTGTAAGCAATACAGTACAAAATGAAGAAATTGTTTTTTAAATCTTAGACTTTTAAAATAATTGGTAACAAATATAGTTCATTTGCTGGTACCAAACTGTATCAAAGTGAGAGTTGCTCAAAAATAGATTTTAACTGCTGCTATGATCAAATACTTAAAATGTATTTTTTTTAAACTTTATTTTATTATGGAAGTGTCAATATGCATATATGCCTATCAGACATTATTATGCTAAACTTTTATTTTTAAAAATAAGGCATTAATGCTGCCATGAAATAAAGATGGGAAAAACTTTTATAACTTTATAACATTTTACCTCTTCTTCTGAAACAAACGCCGTCCACACCTCATGAACCATATCATCCCAACCAGCCTCAAAGAGGACAGCTGCCTCAAGCACAACTATTTCAACACCAACTGAGAAAACAATACCAACATATCTACCAATAAGATAATAACTTAAAATATTAACTAATGAAATATAAATGAAGCAATCATAATGAATATATTAAATACGTGTTCATAATACCTGTTTTATGTTCTAAGATCTCATCCTCAGCAAGTTTGCGAATCACTGGCCAAACTATGCTGTTGAGCTTGTTAAGTTTAGTCTGGAAAAAAAATAATAAAGTGTAAAACTTTGATCAAAATATGTACCAACAAATCTTCAATTGATATTTACATGTGGTGTTGAGGAATACAAATAATACATGGATAAAACCTTCTTTTGAAAAAAAAAATCTGTGGAATCTCTTGACATTATTGAAGTCATTTAAAATATTAACATGATAGATCAGCAGAGCAAATTCATTTTTTCTGGTGCATTTGATCAACAACTTTTCTTTTTTGTTTTCTACTGCAAAGTTAGACCCTCATTTTTAACTTCATTTCCCAATGAGTACCCCAAAAAGATTAAAGCAGCTTGGATTAGTTGTTGGTTAGTAGAATTAAAATACCGTATTTATCGGCGTATAACACGCACTTTTTCTCCCTGAAAATAGGGGGCTATTGATTTGTGCGTGTTATAGGCCTATATAATGTTAAGGACCCACATTACATACCACATACGGCATCGCGTATTATACGCCGGTGCGTGTTATATGCCGATAAATACGTTAAATAGTTGCAAGATATTTCCCCCAATATGACAACAACTTTCAATTTTCAATTTATTTTCAATCAAAAATAACATTGTAATGAATTTTAAAATATATAAAGAATATCTTTAATAAATTATTATATAATTCATTTTAATTAATTTTTTTACCATAAACTTACCACTTAAAATTATTAAAATGTGTGGTTATTATTTTTATTATATTAATGTTTTATTAAATTGTGATAAATTGAATTTTTACAGTTTACAGCTGTATATTTGAATAAAATTCGTATTTTTTAAAAAAAAGATTATTTAACCCCAAATATTGAATTTTATCATAAAAATAATTCATGTACATTTAGACAATAAGGAAATGAAATTCACAACTGACTTTATCATTAAACACAATCTGTCCCAGTTTTTGCCTGTTGATTTCCCCATCTTCACCAACAATAGATTCTCCAAACTCTCTGACAATATCTGAATGTGCTGTGGTACCTTTAACATATGCTTTGTGGCCTGATAATAATATATAACAAATTTTAGAAAACAATTACGACCTAGAGAAATAAATTATAAAAGTAAGCAAAATTTCATGCATATTTCAATTTAATATTGTAAAAGCCATTATAATTAAAGATCAAATTTAATATTGTGTTATTAAAAAAAAAATTTGTTTTTTTAAGACAAATGTTACATAAACTTTCTTTCTTTGTGCACATTGCAATATGTTTTAGATGATCAGTCCCCCTAAAAGAAAACTACTATCTTTTAGACTACAGCCCCATTAGTATGCAAGTTGACAACATCAGTGTTGTTTATCTTTTTTAAAAAATTAAACAAAAACCTACAAAAATTTTTGAGACATCAATTAATTTGAAAAATTTAGGAAATAAGATTACTTTTCCCCAAAGAAAAATATCAATTTATTATATTATATTATGCCATTTGATTTTTTAGAGACAAATAGGAGCCAGATAATCAATTCATTGATCGTGGGCCCTCAAAACAAAGAAGAAGAAGAAAAAATAATGCAATACTTTGACTATTGTCACTGTGACATTTTCACAATTTTTAACTAGTCTGGTAACTCTAAAATGAGCTTTTTACTACGAAATATCCCCACTTATATCTCCCAAAATTGTATGAAAAACCCAGATTATTGGAACCCTTAAATTCCCTTGGCCCCCTACAAAATTCACAGTGTCCTATCTTTCCATGTATTCACACTTCAATCAGATTTGTTAATCTCCATTCAGATTTAGCTATTTCTAATACATTTTCCCATTTGAATCGGCATGGGTTTCTTAACGTGATAAAATAAATATCTTATGGCCTCCATTCTATTTCACAAATGCGATATAGAACTTGATTTCATGCATCTTAAAACTTCTCACCCCATCACATGCCAATCATTTACGCATCTCCACATAAATTAAATCTACCCGTCCTAACAACGTGACCCTTCCATAAATAAATATTCACTCTATGGTTAGTTTGAGATTAAGTCCTACAGCATTCGTAGTTGCCATGTCATTAGTCTATTCTGTACTTTTGTCCATGATCTAATCCCTAACAAGATAAAAGTGCAAGGTATATCTGTGAAATGTGTAGTGTAAAATCTTGAAACAGATTGATGAGAAAATAGAATTTGAACATTGGAAAGCTTACCTAATAAATCACAGTTGACAATTTTCGCTCCCAATTTCTGTAACTCTGAACAAACATTGGACTTGCCACTTGCGATGCCACCAGTTACTGCAATTCTGTAAGGACTCTTGCCAATATTAGGCCTGTTCTTAAACATATAATTTTTCTTAAATGTTTAGAAAGTAATGTATTTTTTGTGTGCCATTTATACCATTATCAACAACAGTTAAAAGATTTGTATGGTACTGGATAATTAAAGAACAAAAATAAAATTAAAAACCAAAAGAAACATTTTTACTCCTACATTATTGTTATACTTAATTGTAAAAGGAATCACAGTCATCAATTTTTTGTAAATAAAATAATGTTAAAAGCTTAAGTAAACATTTTCATTTAATTACCGATAGCTAATCCATATGATATAACTCATTCAAAAGAAGCTATAACTGAATTAGTACCACATGAGATGTATACCTCAATAGATTTCTATGAGCTTTTGTCTATGTTTCAATTTTCCTAACTATATGTTAACATTTTTTTTTTATTCATCATCTTATTCCTCTTAACCAGGGGTCTCAAACTCAAATCATCCGGGAGCCGCCGAAGGTAGAGTCTATGCGCGACTGGGCTGCATTAAGTATTCCACACAAAGTGATTACAAATTCAATAAAGTACAACTGTTACAATCTGCTTAACCTTTATTAATAACAAATAAAAACAATACGGGTTCTCAAGAACTAGGCTCCACTTACTTCCTCCTAATCCTTGTTGCCAGAGACCTGACAGCGCTTCTTCTTACATAGCTGATCAACATTTGGCTTGATTGAGGAAGCAACTGAGTCCCTCCGTATAGCTTGAGGATGCTCATCAATAAGTTTCATTCTTGGCTTGTTAAAGTTCATAGTGGAAAAGAGCTTTTCGCACAGAAAGCTTCTCTCCAAAAAGGCACATGATCCGCTTGAACAACCTGGAAATCTCAGGGAAGGTGGAGGACAATGCTCTCACTCTCATAAATTGTCCATGCTTGTCTATTTTTCCATTCACCTCCTTGAACTTAGAATTGCACTGAAGATCAATCAGCTCCATTTGAAATTCTAGAGAAGTGGGGAGGGGGAGTGTGTGCATCTTCCACATTAAAGGAGAAGGGGTCAGCTAAAAGCTGAAAAGTGGCTGTGTGTGTTTTGAAGTCTAATAACATGTGATAAATTTCTTCCTGTAGCTGTGAAATATCAACTTGAAAAGCCAAGTCCATGAGCCATTTGGGATCACTTAGTACAGGAACAACCACCCCATCTTTCTCCTTGAAGGCTTTAAATGCTAAAATGTGTTCAAACAGTAGAAAGGAGCAGGCGATATTTATAAATTATTGATGCGAAGGAAGATGCTAATGTAGGGAAAATGAAATTGGATTTTTTATCGTAGAAAAGTACTATTTTACTAACCCTATTTTGAAAGTGACAAGCTGACAGGTTCGGACTTTCCCTCACTTGTAAATGCTAGCGGCAATTTTAATATTGATTCTTTGATACTCTATCCAATTGCTACGATTTACACAATTATTGTTGTGCATTACCCACTAACTGACTTTTAAAACTTTTCTCAAAACCTCTTTTGGGCCATGTTTGTCTCTTAAAATGCTATAAAATAAAAACTTTTATTCCGATTTTAAAATTGATGTTACCATTTTAATCAACGTACAAATCTATATAAATATAATAAAAACAGAAATAGACGAATCGCTGAAATTCGACTAAAACCGTCGTGGAGTGTCACATAATAGATATGAGACTGGAGAAAACGCGCGGGCTACATTAAACTTTGCTGTCATGTAGCGGGCCGCAAAATATCGTCTTGCGGGCCACGAGTTTGAGACCCCTGCTTTTAAATAATGATGAAAAAAAATTATTTAAAATAAAATCTCTTCTTTAGCCACCTAATTCCATTAAGCATGACTGGAATCATATAAAGCATAGATATAAAATAACCTACCTGTACTGGTTTTATCAATGTTCCAAGCAATCGTTTCCTAAAAGATGAGGAACTAATTTTACTTTCTTCATCTACTCCATGGCAGCTGTCATCCACCAAGTCTATGATGATCATATCCAATGCATTCATCCCCTTGAAATAGATTGTTTATTTTCAGCCATTTTACTCTAAATGTTTTTCTTGCTTGCCTAACTAAAAACAAAATGACTAAAATTTACAATCGCAAGAGTTTAAAATTTCTTTCATATCTTATTCTTACATACCATTTAGGCAAAAACATTATAAATTGCACAAAAAAGGAGTTTACGAAACAAATTTCTTTTGGTTGATAATAACATGTTTTTTTTTAGTCCATTCTTTTCAGCTATTTGACCATAGCTGAGGATACTATGACAAAGTAAAAATTTCTAACTATTGGTTGAACCATTACCCTTGTCCAGCTTGGCTAAATTTGTTTAAGTACAAAATAAATCATTTCCAGAGTTCCCAATAAAATAATTTAATATCTTTCAATATCTCTCATAAATTAGAATTTGTTTTACATAAAAAGAGCTTACAATTTTTTTCGTATATACTTTTATTTAGCAATTTTATTAGCAAAGCTATTGAGAATTTTTACAAGTTCATTTCAAAGATGCTCTATATAATCCATATAAGACATGAGAAATTTAGAGCAAAAAATATCCACAAATGAAACATTCTCTTTAAAATGATACATACCCTTTTCAACCTCTCTTCATTAACCTGTTCTCCACCAGCCTTTGTTTCTTTACTGACAATAATACATTGGAGGTTGGGGTCAGTTATTGTTGGTCCAAAGGGATCAAATATCTTTACTGCCTCCAAGATGATATTTGGTTTCACATCAGTTACAAAGTTGAAAACTTGCTGTTCTCTGTCTGAATACGGTTCCATTAACTCCCATAAGGATTTCTCTTTGGAATAAAGATTTAACTTCTTATGAATCATGCAATTATTGTAATAATATAGAGTTTACATGAAAAAGCAAGTTATTTATACTTCAGTAATCCAAATGTTTATCATTTTAAATAATGATTTTCAATAGTAAGAATGTTAACTCCATTTAAAGAATAATACTGGAAATAAAAGTCAAGAAATCTTCTCCAATATACTAAAACAATGTATTGAATTATTATAATAAATAATCATTAAACAACAGAAACCTACTTTTGTTTCTCTCTCCATCTGTTATACCAACAGTTAATTTATTCTCACAGCGTAAGCAACTCTCTGTAAGTAGAAGTTTATGTCCAGTGTGGAGACGATCAAAAGTTCCACCAAGTACAACGTTAGGGTAGGTTTTCACAATTTCATGGGATTCAGAATTTAAATTATTATGTACCGGCACAGCGCCAGTCTGAATAAGGCTGAAGTTGATGTCTACTTTAACATTGTTAAATGAAGTTTTTAATATATCAGTTAAGGAACTTCTGCCAGAAGTCCAAACATCTTTTAGATTTGCTGAATCTGTTAAAAGTACAGAAACCTCTTTCTTCAAATCATAAGGAACAACAGTGTGAAGAGAAGGATTCATGCATATATGTGAAAGCAACACTCGGATGTCAAGATTGTTACATGCTTTTGAGCCAGTTAGATAAAAATCTGTAATAATTGATTGAATTTCTCGAGTACAGAGTAGGGGCTGAAGTAATTTGCTTTGAGTCAGATGTTGATTATGTAACGCTGGTTGCAAACAAACATAAAGTGTGTCATTTACAACCACAGATGCCTCTTCAACTAAAGATGAAATTAAAGTTCGCAGATGAGACAATGGCTGGGTTAATATTAAGAGTCCGGTTTTTGCCATTTTTTAAACTAAAGTTTTGTCAGTGTAGATATCTGAAATGAAAAAAATAGTTATTTAAAAGTCAAAAGAAATTTAAAAGACATTATTCAAAATATCATGCTTAAAAATTACTTTAAAATGATGGTTATCCAAGATGTACAATCTGACTTTTATCTATACCCACCCTACTGTTTACACTTTGAGTTAAGTCTTAACAGTCAATCTTAAAACTTAAAGATAGCTCACATCAAATATCTAAATTGACCTATGCCAAAAACTCAATAATATACTATATTTAACTCTAGATTAGACATCACAGTACATGTATTCAGTACTCTTATTTATTTAAAGACGCTAAGTCTGAGTGCACTCAGTGAAACCTACATTTCGGATTCAAACTTGGTAAGGTTCTAAGTCTAAGCAATATAAAGTTAGGATGGCCCATCCCAAAACTCCAAAAACTAAACTGGTATGTCTTTTTATTGCTTCCCCTCTCCACTTGTTGATGGCCCTGTCAAGTGCTCTCTTCTATAGATCAGAATACTGGAGTGACTAGCATATACAACAGACACTGGAAGTTTTCAAGGCTAAATGTCTACAAAGGATCCATCTTTTGGCCATAGACAAACTACAAGGAACAGGCCAAAGCCCTACATGGGCTGGGGCGCCACAGGGATAGATGAAAATCCAATGAAGAGCTGATATTGATAGTCTATGTCAGGCTTGCACAACATTCATTCTTTATTCTTATTATTTTCTTAATAGCTTTCCCCGCTGTCCCATTTTCTTTTAGCCCGCACAAGTCCTGTCCTATTTTCTTTTGGCCAGCACAAGTTTTTCATAAAGTATTACATTCCGCCTTACATGTTCATTATGCAGGCCTATGTCAATCAAGAGTGACAAAACTTGCAGAGAATGTACTTAACTGGCCTAATATAAGGTTCAATACTGGACTGTTGTTGAAAGGGATTCAGGGCTTTTTCAATTATTGAGTGATTGTGAATGGTCAAATATCTATTAGCAAGAAAAATATGTGATGAGCTTGCTTTGCCCAAGATCTTGGAGGAATAGTATACAGTGGAACCTCAGATAACGAATGTCCTGGTTAGCAAACAAATTGGTTAATAAACAATTTTTGTCTCGTTAATGAACAATAAATCGGGTTATGAACATAAGCATACTTCTGTATGCACCATCACACTGCCTCAGTGGTGCTTTGGTGCACTTGCAGTTAACATTGTTTGACCGAGGGCTGCGTTAAACAACACTACATTTTTTTACTTTTGTGCTTTTTGTGTTTTTTAGCACTCATTTGCCTAAAGAGAAGAGTGTTATTAATAGGAATTGTTTTAAAGTAGAAATAAAAAAATAAATAATATTACAACAGGATAATGGCTGTTACATGTAGCCTAGTATAACTAGCCTTGTATTGCTTAGGACTTGGCTGATTTTTTAAATTCAACAAAGAGCTATTTTTAGCCACCACTAGCTAATATGATCTTGATATTGATGTCACCGTGTAAATGTGCTGCGTCACTCCTTCTCTACTTGCCCCTTTCCTAGATGGGGAAAAGGTTGATTAGATTCTCAAGATTGCCATTAGGTGATGCAATTTCTAGATTTTCTTTACTAGAACGTTTGGATTCAATTCCTGTATGAAGCTCGCCATGTTTCTTAGCAGATAGACATAGAGAGACTTGATCGATAAAGCAAGACAAATAGACAGAGCAAGAGAGAGATTTTTGCTATACAAGAAATTATATTACTGTGTGTGTAAATTAATATTTGAATTTTGAGGAATGTACATTTTTTCACTTGCTGTAATTAAATACAATTTTTTGCTTCTGTACTCAAATTTGCAATTGTATGGAAATTTATTCATATACTTTAATTAAATATTTTTAGTATCACTAGTTTTGGTATCGTTTTCTTTGCAAACTGTTTTATCCGTCTTTTGTTGAATATTGTTTTTTCTACCAGCCAACTATTAACACAGATTAAATCTTCAAAACCATAACTGTAAATAACAATGGTCTTCTTATTTCCAATATCCCCAAGCAATACAATATATTGTAATTGGCGATTTGTAATATTCTGAAGAAAAAAAGAGGACTGATTTAGCTAAAGGAGTGACTGTTAATGAAGCAGAGGTCTAAAGTACCAAAGAAAGTAGGAAAAACTGTTGTTTGGATAAATGAAAGCAGCTGGCTGTAGTCTGTAGATAAGGTTAGCAAGACATAATAATTTGTGAAAAGTCTAGGCAGTTGCAAAGTGATTTGTTAGCCAAAACAGTAAGTACAAGTGCTGAAGCTGAAGAATTTAAATTTAAAGTGAGTAGAGGGTGTTTGGATAAATTTTGCTGAAGAAGTGGAAATCTTAGTGTTCTAAAACAGAGAGTGGCTGGTAGTTCTGATAAAATGATGTGTATTTTTTATAATAGCACAACACTTAAAAATGTAAAGATAACTTATACTTCAAGGGCTGGAACTGAAACAGATTGATTGAACTTACGTTGAATTTTAAGGGGAAAATTAGGTAAATTTTAAGGACGAATGCCACAATTTTATCGAATTTCACGAATGTATCCCTAAATCGATCCCTATGCCTAACCTGAACCCTAAATCGATCCCTATGCCTAACCTGAACCCTAAATCGATCCCTCAACCTAACCTAAACCCTAATTCACTGCAATTATAATAAACACACAAAAGACGCCGTGGGATCAGTCCATAATTTTAGCCGAAAATTATTTCAGTTAGCAAATGGTTCAGTTTAAGTTTAAGAAGGAAGTCTCAGAGTGGTCGGCAAACTCATATAAGTCAAAAGGGCCAAAAATGAGTAGCAGGACGATTAAAAAATTTTTGAGAGACAAATTTCTTTTCAAGAACCTGTCAAGAACAATGTTTTTTTGGCATTAAAACCGATTTGTGGCCGACTGGCCGAGCCGCAATTTGCCGACCACAGGAATAGGGTGTTAGTGTTAGTTATAAGTTAGTAGTCCTTACTTAGGAGTCGTAGTAATAATAGTGATCCTTCCATTAGTTCCTTTAAACGTAAACCCCATCTTAGAATTCTTAGTTATCAAGCCTCTGATATAGCTAGCTACTTACTTAACTTACTATACTTAGATTAGAGTAGAAATAAAATATAAGATAGTAAGAATAGGGCTCGGGAGTAACAGTCAGTGTACAATTGACAATTGTGTCGCTAGACCTAGCGCTAGAGTTTGAGTCTAGACTACTGTGGTCATAACTAGACTATAGCATAGCGCCCCCCCCCCCCCCTTACTAAACTTACTAGACTACCTAAGCTGTATTATTAGGTCATCTTTTAGTCTTTTATGAAATGCAAGGTAAAATATGAAGACACATAACAGTATAATAATTCATCATAACATAGTTAAGTTGTCAGACTTAAAATGTGTGAAAAATGTGGTATTACTGATGGTTACTTACTATTTTATGATAAAATAGCTGAGCTTTTTTTTTTTTTATTAAGTTTACAACAATTTGACCTTTGCACTTTGGTTATTTGTGAGAGTACTTTCCCCTGTTTTTCCGAGCTTTCCAATTTTTATTGTCATTTTTATCTACCTTAAATCTCCAATTAACGACTAAAGCTATCCGATCGTCTCCGTTTCCACTCTCTCTAATTATTGGAAGTTGTTTTTAGAGTAACCACCACCATTTAATTTATACATCATCTCTTAAACAAGTATGTTACATCACAATCTACGGCTAAGTTAAATTTAGTTATCAACTCACCAGTGACTGAAAACATAGTCAGAGTCAGAGGCGTAGCTGACGGTAGCTCTATTACTATAGTAGAATATAGAATATAGAGTTACTAGTGTCTGGCGCCCCGAGACATGATACTTTTTTTTAACGCATTTCTCAACTCTGAAACTCATTATTTTCATCAATAAAAATAAAATACCGTCAATGCTCCTTTTGGCACCCCCTACAATTACAAGTCTTGCGTCCGGGGATTTCTCTTTCCCCTTCCGTCCCCCTAAGCTACGCCCTTGGACTGAGAGTGTGAGAGGTACTAGGCCTACTTCTATTACGTCTATCGTCGTGCTGAGAGACAGCAACGCAAGGTTTGCAGAATGCATTTTTACACAATTTAATTATCCTGCTCGTCACACACACAAAATTCCACGAACTCAAATAACTGCTACTGGCTACATTTGAATATTTTTAATCAACCGATAAAATCATGTCTTTCCCTTTTATTTTTATGATACTGACTGATACTTATCAACTTTAATTAAAAACTAATGTAATTTGTAACTGCACTAAATAATATAAGTTATAAGGCAAAGCTTAGGCAAACACTACGCAGTATTTATTAAGTATAAGTATAATTATACTAGTTACGTACTTGGCACCTAATAAATAATAAGGCCAAGGTTAAATAATAGATGCCCATTTTCTTATAAAAATAAATTAAATTATCTTTATGGTGGTCCTCACTTGAGCTCAACAATGTGCAATCATTTATTGTTATTTAATTATAATATATTATTTAATAATATTAAGTTTGGTACTAGTACTATAGACTTCACATTCATCTGAGTCTATTGGTGTCATTATTCATTTTGATTGTAGTTTTAAAAAAGCAATGTGGTCTTGTCCCTCTGACTTTAAAAAAAAAAAGAGTTGGACTTGGTGCACTTGGACTCATTGGTGGTTTCTGATAAGTTATCCTTACAGTAACAGTGAGTAATAGGTAAAATGTTGAGCTGTGCTATTAATTAGGAGTACTTGAACTCAGGCATCTAACTGTAACTCTGTAACTAGTACGGTAGTCTAAATTAATCTGGACAATTTATTAGAATTTAAAAATTGTCAACATTTCATTATTTGGCTAACCACTCAAATCAAATTAGTAGATTTAGTTCTCATAGGTCTTAGAAAAGTAGGCTTTTTTCTAGCATCCGCTGGTCACAATGTGACGATGATGTCGACATTGCTTGCAGTTCGAAATCACAAGGCCTGGGATTTTTCTTTAGGAGGATAAGTATAAGCTAGTTTCCTAGACAGCAAATCACCTCTCTCCATGCATCTGGATAAACCATGGGAACATCATGTGTGGGTGATAGCCTACAGCTTAGCACCAGTAGCGTTGCAGGTGTTGCTGGAATTTGCATTGTGTCAATGTCATACAACCTACAGGACTCCACTTCAGATTTTCCTTCTCTTAGAAGGATTGCCAACCAAGGTTAATGAGTCCCATGCATCCAGGGTGCTTTTGCTGGGGGTTTGAATTCCAGTACACAAGCTTAGGATTGACTCAGTTTAGACCGTTCAGCCATCCATTAGTCTTGTGGTATAGCTATACAGCAGTCTTGATTCACGATTCCATGTGTGAGTCTGTACTCTGTAACTGTATTATCCATAGGGCAAAAGGAAGATAAGCAACATGCCTAAGGCCCTGAAGCACCAAGGATCCCGAACTTAAAATGCTCTTTTTTCAGCATCATTTGGTTTTCTCTTACCTGAATAAAATTATTTTATTCACAAAGTAATCATTAATTAAGTAAATGATAGTTTTTTGTTACATAAATTAAGATGCATACGAAATGTGACTTACTTATGTTTACTAAAATTTCTTGCCACTTTAGGCCTGCTTACTTTATATTTATTATCTGTATTATATTGGCCAAGCAATTTAATATAAATGAATTGGCCCATACAGTAATTATGTAAATGTAAATTTTCTTAATGAAAATTGTATTCTTTTTTTTTTTTGCTAAGAATACCTGAGATTGCTCTAAGAAAAACTCATGCAATACTAAAATAGTTTAAACAAAATAATAGATGTTTACATTAATTCTTATCAGTGCTAGGGTCCTTTTCATGCTATAAATTAACAAATAACTTAAACATTGCTTATCATATCATGTCATATGAATGGTTTAGCAGTGGCATGAAATATTCTATATTATTAATGTTACAGAGCTATCAGTGCTATTGTATTAAAAATTCATTAAGCCTTTCTCAAAACATTTAAGATCTAATGATCCTTAGTGCTCTCTTTTATTAATAGCCCTGTAGTGTATCTGCTTAATCTATAGTGTATACATTGATGTATATGTGAAAAAGTTTAAAGGTGTTTATTTATTAGAAATCTATGTAATTGTAAACCTTTTTCACTTTGACTCTTTATTCTCAGTGTTTTCTTATTTATTTACAAGACACTAAACTTTCAAGATGAATAAAAATGGAATTCTCAGCCAACTCCGTGCCTTAATGCACAATAACTTACATGTTATTCAACCTCTACATGCTTACATCATACCCACTGGAGATGCTCATCAGGTATGTTAATTTATTGAATGCACTCACACAAAATTACAGTAAACTACCTCTTCGTTCTAAATGCCACATTTTAGTAAATATTCAGTATATTTTTATCTTATCTTATGATAGCATGTCATTAGTTATTTAACTACACTCTTAACAAATAAAGTCCTCGTACCGGTAAATAATAAAATCTTAAAAAAGAATCGTAAATCAAAATCTATTACTATTACTGTTTTTTAAATACTGTTTTCTTAAACATGCTGCCTCTATATTAATGTCAAATACATATCTGTAAACAAACATTAATTTAATACAGAGTGAGTATGTGGCTGACTGTGATAATAGGAGAGCATTTATTTCTGGATTTACTGGATCTAGTGGTGAGCTTGTTACCCAATCATAGTTTTTTTTATGTTTTCCATGTCTTACTTCTCTTTTAATTATTTTGTATAAAGCAAATATAAATTAATTCTGTTTCTGATTTCTTTCTTATTTTGTATTTTCTTTCATATCTAATCACTAATTGCTGAAATTAATTCTTTATCGTGAGGCACACATGTAAAAACAAAGCTTTTTCTTGCTTAATAAAATGTATCAATATATCTCTTTTAAAACTTTCAATGAAAATAAATTACAAAAATCATTTGTTATTTATCCAAAGGCACTGCTATTGTTACCACAAACCAGGCTGCTCTGTGGACAGATGGGAGATATTACCTCCAAGCAGAACAGCAGTTAACTAGTGACTGGCAACTGATGAAAAGTGGTATGGAGTGAACAAAATGTTAGCATGCCTTAAATTAAAATATCTAAGGGATTTTCTAATATATCTGTTAATATCCTGATACAAAAATTTCTGATTGTGAAAAAAGTTACTTACAAATATTTTTAATTTTGTTTAATTAGAAAGTGATTCCTCAAACATTCAAACCCGATCTAATAAAATAGGGTTCATTGTAAGTTGTTTTTTTTTTTTTTAAATATTAAGTTATGAGTATTTGATAAAGGTAACTGGTAATTTATTTACCATACAGTTTTGTAAATGAAATGATTAGTACATTTTAGACTTTTTATATTTTGTTGTTTTTTTAATAAATATTTTTCATTTTTAATAAAACTAAAAAACTTTGTTGGGTCTTTTAAAACAGGTTTACCAGACACCCCTACTGAATCAAAGTGGCTGAACAGTGTATGCTATATGTGTATTTGTAAATGTATATATTTTAATTAGGAAAAATTTTGAAATTGGTTGATCATTTGTTGATCAAGAGACCTATATATATATATTATATATATTTTTTAAAATGTAATTCCATATTTTAAAAAATTGAAGATTTTATTTCCTCAGGTTCTTCCAGTTGGTGGAAGAGTTGGGTGTGATCCTAGTCTACTGTCTATAGGTAACAATAAATCATTTATGACGTTGCTTCTCAATTCACATAATAATATGTTATATGTTACACTGTAAGAAAATGTTACTAATGCCTTTTAAAATATTTTTTTCAAGATAAATGGAAACCCCTTAGTAAACAGCTCAAATCTAATGGCCATGTGTTGGTCAGTGTGGAGGAAAACTTAGTTGATCTTTTATGGCAAGATCGCCCAGACCCTCCTACTAGTGACCTCATAATACTGACAGATGAAGAGACAGGTAGTTAGTGTATTTTTTAACCGTTTCAGATATTTCTGACTGTCAAGAGGTATTTATGTAAAGGCTTTAACACATGAATAAGAGCTTTTTAAACCCTTGAGGCAGTGGTTCTCAACTTTCCCAATGGCGCAACCATTTAATAAGGTTCTTTTTGTTGTTGTGTCCCCCAATCATAAAATTATTTTCATTGCTGCTTCATGAATATGTGTTTTCCAATGGTCTTATGCTACCCCTGTGTAAGGGTTGTTTGACCCCCAAAGGGGTCGTAACCCACAGGTTGAGAACTGCTGTCTGAAGGGTTCTATAAAATTAACTCAATAAGCTCATTTTTTTTTTTTTAAAGGTGGTACATTTTAAATTGCCAGCTGTTGGTGAGAATTATTTAAATTAGCTACTATTAAAAAACGTAAACATTATTTTAAGGATCATCATGGCAAGAAAAGGTATCCAAAGTCAGAGAAAAGTTGGTTGAGGAAAAAGCTTCTGGTGTTGTTGTTACAGCCTTAGATGAAGTTGCTTGTAAGTTTCATTGTAATTTATTTTCTCTAACAATAAAAATTTGTATAATACGGTACTTATAAAGAATTATTTGTCTGTAATTAATAATTTATTTACTGTTTTCATATTCTTCATGTGCAGGGCTTTTCAATATGAGAGGTGCAGACATAAGCTATAATCCGGTTTTCTTTTCCTTTGTTATTATAACAATGGATTCAATCCAGTAAGCACTTTATACATTGCTTAAATTACCATCAAACCATTTTGCTTAAACTTCACATAATTTCTGTAAGTAATTTTATATTCTCATTTGTATGGAACTAGTGAAAAGAGAACAAAGCAGATATTTATGTTATTTGAAATACCATGAATAGTTTTTCAATTTCCTAGGTAATGAAAATTATTTTATAAATTTAACTTATCTCAATTTTTAACTATTTTTTTTGTGCTTAGGAACAAAAAGATGCCAAAATTTTAGATATTTTAGAGTTAAGATGATAGTAAGCAAATAAGAGTTTTAATCATATTTCAGTTTATTTATCAATTCTGAAAAGTTGACTGACCATGTTCGTGCTCACTTGAATGGTGTCGAGTTCCACCCTTATGAAAAGGTTTATACTTTCTTAGGGGATCTAGTTGAAAATGAAAGCTCTTCAAAGATTTGGGTAAACTTGTTTTTAAATCATTTATATCAATCACTTTTTACTTTTGAAATTCTTATATTTACTTTTATTATTTATGCTGTAAAGAAGTTTTAAGTTAAATATCATTTATGTCAATTTATTCAGAACCACATTACTAAGGTGCAATACCTTATTGAAAAATTGAAGACAAAATGAGAAGAGAACTAAAACTTTTAAATGAGATTGTTGCTATATAAAATGTTACATCAATTTCTTATAAATTTGATATTATATAAAACTTAAAACCCTTATGTATTTGATTTTGCAGATAAGTGGCAATTCAAGTTTTGCAATTTACAATCAGATACCAAAGGTGAACATTGTTACATTATTTAAATAATCCTTAGACTTTTGTAGAAGTGCAGTCATACTGTATACAAATTAGTTTGCTCGTTTCCTGTTTTAATTGGAATATTTGTTTTTATACTTTCACATTCTTATTTTTTAAATCCCCTAATTAGTCGGTTTAAAATATAATTAGTAACATCACAAAAATCTTGCATTATTTTAACCAATTGACCTAGGAACATGTAAATATTTTCAGCATAAAGTTCTCTTATCCCCATCACCTTTAGCCTTGTTAAAGTGTGTGAAAACTGAGTCAGAACTAGCAGGCATGGAAAGGGCCCAGGTAACAATTGATTTTATTAATGTGTTGTTTTTTTTAAAGAAAAATGACACAGCTGATTTTCTTGTTAACTTGACTCATAAGTTATCCAAATATTTGCAACTCAGGCTTAATCGGGTGCAGTTATTTTACACTGTGCCCTGTTATTTTAATACTCAGTGAGTCCAAGTGTTACTAAAAAAAGTTAACTTCTCATTTTTCTTTTATATTTGCTGGCCTTTAAACATGCTCCAGTCCCACCCCTACTTGATGGCCTTTAAACATCAGGCCTACAGACAGTCATACTCCCTACTTGCCGGCCTTTAAACAATAGTCCTATAGACATGGACACTATACTCGTGACTCTTATTATAATAGTCACCCCCCCAAAAGAAAATAAATCAACCTGACTCATAAAAGCTTGCTGTGTGACAGGTTATTTTTTTTTCACTCAGTATTATTAATATAAAACCTGTGGAGTTGGGGGAGGTCGGGTTATGAAGAGGAAGCAGAACATACCAGAAGCAATATATATATATTTTCAGTAGTTTAAACAATTAATTGAATGCAAAATATGTTCTTAATCACTTTCAAATTAAAAAATAATTAAATTTTGTAACTTTTCATTTAAATTTATATAGGCTGTCAAAAACTGTATAACCTATAAATGCTCACCTACACATTTTAAATATTTGAAAGGTGAAAGATGCAGTTGCACTGTGTGAATTTCTTCTTTGGCTTGAGAAAGAGGTAAGAAAGAATTACAAGCTGGCATCAGAAGTTTCTTAGAATGTTTTAATCTGGAACACTACATTGACTATCAAAACTTAATTTTTAAACAATTTTTTACCATTTTAAAATTTTTTGGTCACATATTTTTAAATTGGAAAGGGTACCGATAAAGGTTTCATTATCTATAAATATTATTGATGATTTAAGTCATTTCTTGTAAATTTGTTCAGGTCCCCAAAGGAACAGTCACAGAAATATCAGCTGCTGATGAGGCTGAAAATCTTAGAAGGTAACACATTCATTTTCATCTGTTAAGTTCAATTTTACAATGCTTGTATTTTTTCTTCTATGTTATAAGTGGATCATATATTTTCTGTTACCAGGTATTTAATTTCTAATTTTTTCATGAGATTCATTGTCCTATACATTCTTTATGGATTGATACTTGCTGGACAGTGAAAATACAAATTAATTAACCATCCAAACATTGCTGTTACATATTAATTCAATTTTGTCTGACAGTAAACAGATTTTATTTTTAAGCCTTAATAATTTGTGAAGGTGACTAGTCAGAATTTATTAAACTAAAGTCTTGACATTTCCCACAGATATAGGTTTAATCTTGCTCCCATACTGAACCCAGTTAACTAAAATTTCTAACATAATGCATTTTTTATATTGCAGCAAACAAGCAGACTTTATTTCCCTCAGTTTTGATACTATTTCAAGTATCGGGCCTCATGGAGCTATCATACATTACAAGTAGGTCTAATTAAAAAAACTGTTATTTTTACCACAATTACCATTTGAAAGATGGTCTTTGGAAATGCATTAATTTATACAAAAGTAAGTGTTTAGCCTTTTGAAGAACAAGAAGTCCAGAGAAATGCATTACTATTTTTTGTAATCATAATTAAAGCCTCCCCTATCAGATAACCTATCAGATAATATGAAACTCATACAAACTTTTGCGCAAAGCCTGTTAAAGCTGGTATGTTGTGAAGTATAATATCTTTTTTTTTTAACATGTTTTTAGGCCAAAACCTGAAACCAATGCTTTAATAACAACAGATCAAATTTACCTGGTTGATTCTGGAGCTCAGTACAGGTAAGTGAGTTTATATCACAAAAAGATTTTAATAATTTTATTTAATACTAAAGCCTTGTCAAGTTATATTTTGTTTATCACACATAATAAAATTATTTAATGAGTTTACCTTGATACATAATAGTTTTAAATTGATTTGTTTCATTTAGATAGAATTAACTTATAGCTCAATAATTTGTAATTGTTACGATCTTACTTCGGTTTGATGTTCTGTCTTCAAAAATTACTTTTGTTGTTTATATTTCTGGCACCATTGTCCTACCACCCTACACACACACAGCACTGCATGATTCATACACAAGATCAATAACAATGTTCAATTGAAGTATTGATTCTTTATTTGCGGTAACTGGCAGTTTACAAAACCGTTCTTCAATATAAATTCCTCAGGACACTAAACCTTTTCCTAAGACCCCTTTTAGCGCCACTGTTGAACTTGCACCCTCTCAGGACAGTGATCACTCAGCCTACTCACAAAACTGCACACCACGAACTAACCGCAAGATCTGACCTTACATAAATTCCTAGCATTCTCTTTTTAATATATAATTTCTATATTTTTCTAAATTAGGGATGGCACTACAGATACCACTAGAACAATACATTTAGGCACACCATCTAAACATGAGCAGGTGATCATGTTTTATAATGTATTATTAAACAAATTTATTGATGAATGGAGCACTAATCAAATATAGAAAAAGTGCGAGCGATGCCATATTTTAACAAATAAATCACTGTTAATTAATAAGAACATAAAATAAAATGTTTCTATTCTCCTTATTCCATAATTTTCAACTTCATTTCAACTTTTTTTTAAATCATATAAAATGTGATTAGTTTCATATATTCTTATACAGGAATGTTACACAAGAGTTCTAAAAGGCCACATAAACCTGTCATCTGCAATATTTCCTAGTGGTATTAAAGGTTAGTGACAATCTCATTAATGTTGAAAAAAAAATTCTTTATTCCATGCAAACAGAAGAATTATTGATTAATCAGTTTCTTCAATTATCACAACCTAATACTAATAAGGTGAATTATGTCAAAAATAAGACACTACAATGCTGAATGCTTTTCTAATCTTTCCAAAAAGTTAATTGACATTTTCCAATGGTAAGTAGTTAAAATTTAAAAACTCAAATTTATAAATGTTTTATTAATAGGTCAGATGTTGGACACATTAGCACGGCAATACTTGTGGGAAGCAGGTCTGGATTATAGGCATGGAACAGGTCACGGGGTCGGTGCTTTTCTTGGTGTCCATGAAGGTAAATATTATTGATCTAATAATTTCCTTTATAAATAGTTTTAATGTGTACGAAAAAATGATTAAATATGTCATACTTGTTTATACATGCGCATTTTATTTTAAAAAAGAATATTTAACTCAACAAGGTTGTGAAACCAACCAAGGTTGTGGAACCAACCATCTCTCTTTTTTAGCCGTCACTATTTGTAAAGGCTATACCCATAACATTTGCTTCTGTTCCCTTCTCGTCACACTCTCCTCTAGTTCTATCTACTTCTTTTAGACACTAATTTGATCCATTTGCTTATGTCCCTCAAAATTTAAAACAAATGTAGTTGGAGAGCTAGTGCTCTTTATGTTTTGCTTGCCAGCTTACTCTCATATGACAGCCATCTTTGTTGAGAGTGAATATTTTTGTTACTAGTGTTTTTTTGTCCATTTTGTGTGTTTCCTAGTCTAATTGAGAATCTAACATTTGATCTCCTCTTTTGACATTCTGTAGAGGTATTCCTATTTGATACATAGTTATTTCAAGGGTAACAATATAAAACCAAAGTTAAATAAAGTTTATAATCAGCTCTGGAATTTAAATATGTTAATTGTGCTATAAATTGTAGTGTATTTAATTTTATTTAAATAGTTCAAATAATTTTTGGGCCCAAGTTTTGTTTTAGCCCTCAACAGACTTAGTGTTTACAATAAAGTTAACCCTAAAATAATTTGAAACAATGACAATGCTTTAGGTAATGAAAATGTATTCCTTTTGTTCTTGATTAAACCATTAATAAGAAAAAGCTGTTTTGCCAAAAAGCATTTTTGGATGTGTTGAGTTACTGCAAAAATATTTGTCTTTTATCAAATCATAGGGCCTTGTGGGATTTCATACCGTGTTTCACCAAATGAAGTTGACCTGCAAGAAAACATGGTTTTAACTGATGGTAAGTGCTACCAAAATCATATGTTTTTTTTAAACACATCTCTTTTTTTCTTGTGTTTCTACCAATACCAGAATGACGAAGACTTATTTTAAAATGCTAACCAGTTAAACGTACTTGTAGTTGTTAAATATTCAAAATGGTGTTACCATAGACATAGCTTCCTGGTTCTATTGCAGTGGTTCTTAACCTGAGTTTGATTGAACCCCAAGGATTTCTTAGTTGAGTTTTGTGGGTTAAAAAGAATTTGCTATTTAATTAAAGTTATTGAAATTGTTAATTCTTTCAATTTTAATACAGAGCCTGGCTATTATGAAGATGGCAAATTCGGAATAAGAATTGAGAACTGCATTAAGGTTAAAAAGACCAACACACAGGTGACATTTACTTAATATGAAATTACAAAATCAGCATAATGCACAACTTGTAATCAAGGTTTTGGAGCCAAGCTGAAGCTCGAAGATTTATAGCAGATTTTTCCCAGAGCTGGAGGTTACAGCTCTGAGCTCCAAATTTTTTTTTAAATATATTTAATTCAAACTTAATTTTTTTTTTATTAATTTATTCTAACTGATGCCCTAATCTTATACCAGCTGTTACCCCACTCCTCAACAGCTATATTGCCCTGCCCTTCTAATAGCTATGTTGTCCCACTCCTCTACAGATAATTGCACCACTTGACTACAGCTATTTTGCTGGTACTTGCATTACAATGCCTAGTTAATAAGAAGGATTAGCGACATTTCTTTACACACTAAGCACCCTCATCAACCACACCTTCTCCCTTTTTAAATTTTGCCTTCACTCGGAGCGTAGCTGACATAATTTTATCCAGAGTGAAGATCGGCCAAAAAATGCTTGTTCCAAATCCCTGCTTGTAACAACAGCTTGTACTGTGTTATTCCTAAGGTTAAGCAATATACATATATATAAATAGTTATATATTTAGTCTATTGAAGAAGGATGAATCCCCAATACTTTGTTTTGTTTCCATTTTACATGGAATTTACTTCTTTAATATGTGTTTGTGTCTGTTACAATCGAACACATCTATCTTTATTCTTCATTAATAATCTGTCAGTTGCATAATTCACCTATTTTATTTTATTTTACTAAGAAAGTCCTTATTAATTGTTTAATTGGGTTTTTTTAAGCATAACTTTGGGGGCAAGGGCTTCTTGACCTTTGAACCAATAACAGTTGTACCAATCCAAACCAAAATGATAGATGCTTCTCTTCTCACGGAAAAAGAGGTAAAAATTCTTAATATGTTTTGAAATTGCAGGATTCTGACGAAAGATTCCTGAGATGATTGACTCAGAAACTGATTTGAAAGAATTTTAAGGCACAAATTTACCCAAATATAAAACCGCCCCATAAATCTTTGTTGAAACTTGCAAGTTGACAGTATTTTGTTGATCCTACACCTAATATGTGTTTTTTAACTTTTATTATAATCAGCAATCAACCATTCATTGTTTTTTTTTTCATTTATCTAAAAGACTGTTGAAAAAAAACAAATTTATCTTAGCTTCTCATTTAGAAATATTTAAAAGTTTTTTGCTTATTTTATCTATTTATTTTCAGATTCAATGGTTAAATGACTATCATGAAAAAGTACGGAATATTGTTGGAAGTGAGTTAAAACAACAAGGAAAAATGGATGTGTACCACTGGCTATTACAGGCCACAGAACCTTTGGGATAATCCCGCTAAAGCTGTTATTAATTGTTGGTGGTCAGAAATTTATACATCGATAAATTTAAAAATTTTCAATTATATAAAAACAAATTTCCTTATTTTAAATCACCATTATTTAATAATTTTAAGAATTTTACCCATTGATTCAATTTCTGATCCAAATAAAAAATTTTTTGCTAGATGTGTCTTTTTTTTTTTAGCTATATGATATTAAGTTGGAAGTTTGCATTACTGAATAATCAGTTTTGTGTTTTTAAATGTATGCCCAAACTGTAGCACATAAAATGCCAATGTCAGATATTAGGATCAACAACAGTCAACTACAAACAGTATTCTCTAATACAGCCTTGTTTTGTTTTTTTTTAATTCACTGTACAAAAACAACCGCCTATTTTAAATGTAGAAATTTTATTTATGTAAGCTTCTAGAAAACGATACACATTTTTTTTTTAATTATCTCTGTAAAATAAATTATAATCATTAACTATTACATTGTAATGATTTTTCTTAATTAAAAGTGATATACAAATTTACACTCAAAGCTGCTGTTGCTCCTTTTTTTCTATATAAATATATTTTTTATAAATAGAGAGCTATATATAAATGATCATCAGATTGATATGGAATTTAACAATTTTTATGTGCATTAAACAAAATTTTTGTAATACTAAAATTGTATTTTCATGTCTTATTATTTTTCTGTCCTTTATTTTGGTGTGCCAAAAAGGCTGGCATAAAAAGTTTGCTTTAAAGCAGCAGATCTGTCTACCCATTACTTGTTATCATCTCCAAACGAAAGATTAACTCTTTTATAATTCTATTATAAAACAAATTTCAAGATAAAACAAAGATTTGTTTCTAGAACAAAACTATCACAGTCAAAACACCATAATTATATATATGTTACCCTCATTCATCCATAATTAGATTATGTTCATGAATTAATACTGATATGAATACATAAATAATTGTTGGGAAAAAAATGTAAAACATTTTTCTGATAAAAAGACTCAAAAAAGAGCCGGCATACTTATTTCTTTAAAATAATTCCAGTAATGCTAAATATATATTGTCTTATCATCACTGCTCTGGGTTAATGAAATAGGTTGTATTTAGAGATAAAGAAATTTATCAGAAAGCATTTATAACTTTATAAAAAGAGAGATAAGATGTGTTGTACAAGCTTTTTATGTTTGTGCACTGATCATATTACCCACTATTCTGTGAGATTTTTGTAAATGGCTAGGATTGGTTCTGTTGGCTCCATTTCTGTCATAAAGCCAAAAAAATATATTTTTTTTTTTTAAACCTATTAAAAAAATAGCAACAATACTTTTCCCAGTAAGTGAAAGTTACTTTGAACATTCATTTACTTTAAAATACATTTATTAGTGGGTTTTATTGTACTTTTTAGGATGAATATTTACAACCATCCCTAAATCAGATAAGTTTTTCTTAATGCTCCTATTGCTTGGACAACACAATTGGGGAATTCAAATTAACTATACAGAATATTGTATTGAGATCAGTAGATAGATTTACACATCCAACCTATGGTTGAAATTGAAGAACGTTATTAAAGATATAATCGAAGATTTCATGGTCACTGATTGTCCAAAGTCGCTAGCACACTTTATAATTATATATTTTTATTTTGCCCTCGGAATAAAATACTGGGCAGTATTTTAACATTTCATTAATTCTGAAATATTGCACTAGAATATTCATGAACAAATCAAAATCTCCACTTATATACTCATCTTTTTAAATGACACTCATAAATTCACACAAATATGTGCATCAAAACTACAAATGGTATAGGCCCAATATACCATCTCAACATTATAAACACATTGTTTTATTATATTTTAGGTATAAATTAATCTATTTTTAAAATTTAGCATTCATTAAGCTTCACAATTTCCTCACGTGTACGTTAAGTAATTTTCTTGTTCATGCTGCTCTTCTGATCCAACAATGATAAAGTCTAGTCCCTGAGAAGTAGTAATAAAATGTGCATTTTATGTACTTGTTAATAATACACTCAAAATAAAAGATTTTTACAACTCATTAAATTTCTGACTTCAGATTAGGAAAAGTACCAGCTGTACATTTATTTTACTTTTCCATGAAAAAACAAAAAAGAATTTGGTCTATACTAATTTGCATATATTTCAATACATACAACTGAAACCCACCTTCCATTGCTGAGGTCGAGTGTGAATACCATTATCTCTGATGTCTAGATATTTTATAAAAGACAAGGCCACAATTGTGTCATCAGGCAGACTTTTTATTTTGTTGTTTCTCATGTGTAATGAAACTAGACTAGGAATTTCTTGAAGAGTAACAGGCACTTCATCAAAACAGTTGCTATTCAGATTTAAATAAACTAATTCCTTCCAACTACCAATCTTCAAAGGGAGCTCTTTCAGACGATTATCATCCAAGTTGAGCCATGTTAGGTGTTGGATTCTACACAGTTCTTCAGGAAGACAATGCAATTCATTGTTTCTCAGTCCAAGCTTTTCAAGCTTCTTCAATCTTCCCAAACTTGGGGGTAGACTTGCAAGCTGACAATTAATAAGCCAAAGGCATTGTAAAGATGAAAGATTGGCTAATTCATCTGGTAAGACAACTAATGGATTGTGTGATGCTGACAATACCTGCAGTTTAGAAAGACATCCAATACCTGTGAGATAAAATTGTCATATTTGAGTGAATGTGTTAGTTTGGCCAAACCTGTTAACGCCAAGAGAAAATGTCCATAATCAAATGTGCTTGTTTTAAATATTGCTAATTTTTTTTTAAAAATGTTTTAATTATTTTAAAATGAATATGACTTTGATTAATTTTATTATGTGTATTTAATTCTAATTTCATGTCATATCCCATTTTAAAAAATTTAATTTGAAATTAGGACAAGCAAACACAGGATCCTGCCTCCTGCCTGAAAATTCAATCCCAATTAGGACAATTCTAATTCTTCCTAATTTTTCGCTCTCTCTCTCTCTCCCAGCACTAATAGGAAATCTTTTTCGTTCTCTAATGCAACATATCTAATTCCTTATACTATGTAATGTAATTCTTTAATTATTGTTAGAGCTATAGGTACTCAATTAGACACCTACCCCTCTCATGCCAAGAGTGATTGACTTTCAAAGCTCTTCTTTCCTAACAATGCATAATATATTTTCCAAGTTGCTTGATCATGCATGATAAGATCTCCAGACTTGAACCTTGGACCACTCATTCTTACCCCTGATTTGTAGCCCTTAAACAATCAAAGGCAACAAACAACATCCAATGTTCCTTAACCCAAATCTTTGATACCTACCTTTTTCGCGTACTATCCAAATGCTTAATTTACTGATAACCAAAACTTACATCCCCTTTCAAAATCAATTTAAAATTATGAAAAATTGATAGCAAAAATACTAATTACAGGGGAACCTCAAATTAGAAACGCCTTATTTATCAAACAAATAAGATAACGAAAAAGTTTTATGAACAATTTTATTCTCTGTTCACGAACTATACTTTTGGTTCCAACATACTTATATGCCTGTTTACACAATGCATGGGCTCAGTAGAGAATTTGTGCTTTTATTGTAGATGTAGTTTTTCATAGTTTATCCGAGTAATGTTTTTAAAAACAATACTGTTTGTTATTTTTGAATTTTTTGTGATATTTTAGCCTTTATTATGGTGCCTAAAGAGAAAAGTGTTATTAATAGGTATTGTAGTGAGGAAATCAAGAAAGAAATTATATTACAGTATAACACAATAATGGCAATACTTGTTTTATTTATTTTAGTGTGATATATCTATAGTTCAATTTAATTTGATTTGTTTACACTAGAGAAAAACACTGAAAAATGTAAAAATATTGCATTTCTAAGGTTGGAACAAATTCATTAAATTTTTATTGATTTCAAAGGGAAAAATTATTTCAGCCAGCGAATGTTTCGGTTTAAGAAGGGAGACACGGGAAGGATTAAGTTCATTATCCGAGGTTCCACTGTACTAATTTAACATTTTTCAAATATTTAAAATTTAAAATATTCCATTACCAATTATTGGATCTACTGGGTAGCCAAATAAATTATCTCACACTCATTTGAATTTCCAAGTAAAAAAAATACAGTAATGAGTATTCAAAGTCAGTAAATTATAGACACTCTTACCTGAAGGAAACATTGTCAGCATGTTGTTATCCAGCACCAACTCTGTCAAGTTAGGTAATGAGCATAATTCACTAGGAGCCATCAATAACTTATTGTGATTTAACAATAATGCGTGAGCTGAATTTGCTCTCTGCAATCGTCCAGTAACTATTGTCAGTCCTCTGTGGCTTAAATTTATAACTGTTTTGTTTTCGTGAATAGCTTTATCCAAAAAAGTTTCAAGTTCCCACAATTCCATAGGTTTTTTATTCATTTCATTGATCATTAAATGTATTGTTTGTTTATGAGAAAATTTTAAAGATTAGCCCATTTTATTATCACATGTAGTAGTAGTTAATGTTGAGTAACATTACTAAGAAAATATGCACCATTAAGCTAGAACTTTTGTCAGTCGATAATGAATACTAGCTAAAGAACCTTCTAATTATATTTAATACATAGATTCTCTGTCTGCATGGCTCCATTCCATGGATCTGAAATATAAATAATGCAGTCTTTATATTTGTACATTGCATTATTGTTCAATTAGTTAAGATTTCATAGTAATAATTAATCATTCATTACTTAATTCAAATATTTTTTAGAAACATGAATTATTTTACAACATGCTAGCTTTTACCCATCAAAAATGACAGAGATTTCATAAATTGAATATTTTTTATTTCAGCAAATCAAAACTCTTAGTTTTCCAAATAAAGAGTGTCTCATCAAATAAATATGTTTGGAATTTTGAGCTTAGTCAAATTCAATTACACATCATTGATTTTTTATATTGCATTAAGTGTTTATTTTTAAATCATTGTAAGTTTGTATAAATTTTTTAACAATTAATGTATTATTGTACTAAAAGTTTTAAAAAACCTTTTAAAGGTGGACAACAATTGGATTTTTTTTAAAATTGCAATGCGGTATCAAAGATTTCTGGTCTTGTTAAATGTGTTTGTTCCAGACATATGTAAATAGAGAATTAAGAGTTTTGATTACTAAATAATAATGTTGTAATTTAGAAATTGAAAGTTGCATATAATATTAAAAGAATAATTACTATTCTCTAAGTTTATACATTATGTAGTTGAAAATATTTAAAAAGTGGACTTGACATTTATATTCATCATTTTGTTGACTTTGTTTTGTTTTTTTAATTTACAAAAGATGTGTATTATTTATGGAAATAACTGGCATGTTAATTTTATGTTTGTTACATGTGTCTTAGTATTATTTAAAAAAAACAATCACTGTCTCTGTGAATGTTTATCAATCCTAATTAACATAAACCACTCATTTAACTAATTAGGTTAACAAACAGTTATGACAATAGTACAAAATAATAAGGGTAAATATTTTTATGACTATTTCAGTTTAAGATGATTGATTTTGATACAAAATAAAATAGGCCTATTAGTGGTAGTTCCTTTTTTTTTTTTTAAATTAGAATATACCTTACTCAAATTAGGCCTTTTAAAAAAATATAATCAATTGCGTTCAAAGAGATTGAAACAATATAATGAATTTAATTAAAATCAATATTTTAATTCAATTATCTGTATTACTATTACTCATATAAAGCCTACATACTATAGACTATAATATATAATATAAGGCTAAAATATATCAACTAAACCAAATTTAAAATATATGAACTGATCCAAATTGTAGAAGCAGATGAGATGTGCTACAACAAATTTATTTCATTATAGTATTTATTTTCTTATGGCCTTAGCATGTAAAGCGCCTAAGGCTTAAGTGACCAAAGTTGTCACTCTGGGGGGCAGCTATAAATTATACTGAGTTTATAATTTATAGTGTTATTTTATTTATACAATTTATAGTTATCTTATAGCGATATAGGTCTATGCCCTAGTAGTTGCCTAATTATTTTTCTTTACTAAAGACTAAATTCTAAGACTAACTCAATGAATTTGACTTAACTAATTTAAATATTAGACTTAAGTATTAGAATACTGCATAGACAGTCAGTGCTGAATAAAGGTACCGGCAACACAGGCAGTGGCCCAGGGTTCCATTAACTATCTTCTAAAATAGGAAAAGCATTGCATATGCGTGCCATGGAAGAAAAAGAATTTTAATTGCAAAATGTTTGTATGTCATACTACATACTGGTGCACAGGAAGCAGCAGCAAAAGTCACTGCTGACAAAGGCAGCCATTTTTTTAGAAAGTGAATCAAGTTCAATGGGATTATTTAGGTCTTGTTGAGCTACTTTTAAAATTCAAATTAACAATGAATGAACATCTACGCCGAGTTGTGCCTAAAGAAACTCACTTTCCCAAATGTGAAAAAAATTTTCAGAACGAAATAATCAATTTGTTAGGAAATCATGTTCAAGAAAATATTTTTAACTGAGCTAAATCAGCCAAATATTTCTGCCTAATTTTAGACTGTGAACCCGATATTAGTCATGTGAACCAGCTGTCACTGACTATGAGATTTTTAGATAACAAGACTTTTATAGAAACTACAGGTCAAGGATTATATCAAAGTATAATTGAATTTTTGAAAGAGGGCAAACTGGACTGTAGAGACCAGAGCTATGACAATGGTTCCAATATGAAGGGAGAAAATAAAGGGGTTCAGGTATAGATTATGAAGGAAACTAAACAGGTCTTTTATATGCACTGTGAAAGTCATAGCCTAAATTTAGAGGTTCGTAACAGTGCAAAAATTTGCCTGGAATCCACTTTTTTTTAAGTACTGTCCAATGCATGTATGGTTTTTTTCCTTAATCTACTTGACGATGGTATGTATTGATGAAAAAACATGTTAACTGGCTCACTGTAACACTTTTATGCTAGACTAGATGGGAGTGCAGAATTGAATCTGTCAAAGCCATTAAATATGAAATGACGTGAATTTGAGAAGCTCTTCATGAAATTTCAGAAATGTCCGTATCTGATCTTGCACAGCGACATGAAGCAGATGCATTTGAATTACGAATAGAACATTTGGTTTTTGTATGATATCTTAGGCAGGGTAAAAGTCAGCAAAACAATGCCAGACACCTCTGTGGAACTATCCACTGCAGTTCCACTAAGGAATTGTGTCACTGATTATTGAATTGATTATCATGCAAAAATAACTACAGAATTAGATGTAGAGCTCATTTGTATCAATAAAAAAAAAGGGAGAATGAGGCTGTATGAATATGACGGCACTGGTGAGGTTCCAAATGCAGATAACCCAGAATTGTTTTTAAAAAATCATATGTTCAATGTAATTTTCGACAGAGCTATAAATTCATTATTTGAGAGATTTGAACAGTTCCAAAGTTTCAATCAACACATGTAGATTTTTTAATGACCAAAAAAATCTGCCAAACAAAGATATCTCAAAGTAGTATGTCAAGGTTTGGAGTGTAAGTTAGGGTATCAAGAAAATAGCGATATAAATGGATGTGATCTGATGATTTAACTAGATATATCTGAAAAATTATTTCCTCATGATGTAAAGCTTCCAATGGAAGCTGCTAAATTCATAAACACTAATATTAATAAGTTACAGGATGTCATGCCAAATATATGGGTAGTATTAAGAATAATGCTTACAATACATATTTGGGCAATCCTCCGAAGTCCGGTCCCAAATTATTTCCAGTGATTGCTCCCCACTTAAAAGTCTTAGGCATCATTCATGTTTGCGGTAGTGGACGATGTTGGATGGATTTTTTGGCCGGCGAGATGCACAAACACTCGAGCGCATTATCACTAATCACGTGTTACCAGGGACAACTATGCTCACGGACGCTTGAAGAGGATATCAAAATGTCGGTCAGCTCAACAACAGGATTTATGCTCACGCTGTCACTGTGCAAGCGCGTGAATTTGTTGATCTAGTAGACCAGGACATTCACAAATAAACTATTGAAGGACTTTGGATGCAAGCGGAGCGTAAACTAGTGGTACTAGTCGCGGTCTTTTTGCCAGCTACTTGGGGGCCTTTCAGTGGCGCAGCAGTCACAAGCAGAACGTTTTTGGGCTGCTATTTGCAAATGCTATGCGCCAATTATAACATTTATTATTTAGCCAATGGTTTGTAAAGTAACAGTTATTTGCAAAAAACTATGACTGACATTTCTGCTTTTTTCTAACAATACACACTGTGCATTGCAATTTTTTTCATACGAAATAATTTGGGACCGGACTTCGGAGGATTGCCCATATTTGTAGCCACTGATGAGATAAAATTTAGTAAACTAAAGTCTGAAGTTTATTCTAAACATATATATTTAGGCATTTACTTTTAGGATCATTCAAGTCTCAAGACAAAATGAATTCTCTTGCAGTTTTCTATAAGAAAATGATATTTGTAAGAATATAAATATAAAAAGTGTATTAAAAAGATTGGCTCATCTAAAGTCTAAAGAAAAACAAATGTCATTGGTAATTGGTGGGCTAATTATTCATACGCCCAAATATAAGATACATTCATTAAGAAAAACAATAGTATTGTTCATGATTCATTGTTAGTATAGTAAAAAATAAATAAATAATAAGCTTATTAATACCTAACTCCTATTTTTTTCTTGCAAAATTGTTTATGATTATGCCTATGATTATCATTATACGTAAAAGTCAAAAGTAAAAGGGTCGCCAAAGTTAGGCTTGCCCAAGGCGCCAGCAACAGTATGGCCGGCCTTGTTTTCAGTGTTTATATGTTAGTGTTAGTATTCATTATTAGTCTTTTCATTTTATTTTAGTTTTGATTAAAAAGAACCTCAATTCTGCTACATATTATAACTATTGATATTTAGGCTACAAACACACATTTAAAAAAATCTTTCACCATAAGCTATGATATCATTTTTGATTTGGTACATTGAACTTGTTTCAAGCGGCTCGATTAGTATAGACAAAACGGTAAACAGTTGTTGTTAGCTCCACTATTTGCAATATTTATTTTTCAATTAGTTTTTTTAAAAAGGAAATCTAGTTTATCCTTAAAACAATAACTGTATATATAGTGTTAGTGGAACAAATCTTTGGACCAGTTTTCTGTTCTACAATATAATGTTTTTATAGACATTGTTTATTTCCGGGTATCTTTGACTCATTCGTTACCATTCATTGAAAAAAAGTAAATAGAAAGGTCTTAACCAAAAAAAGCCATATCAGAACGTATACCATATAATTAATAGCAGATTTATATTCAACATTAACATAGCGTTATGTAACTAAATAGGCCTGCAGCCCTGCATATTTCTATTTAATTTGTATAATACTACTTATTTAACTTAGTAATTAATGAATGTAGTCATAGTCGACGTAGTTACTCAGACTGACAGAGTTACTGTTCTCAACTGTTGTGGTAGACTTGTAGATGAATGAATGTCGACTAGTAGTTGTATTAGCCTCGAGTCTGTTATGACAGGATGTAGGAGTAGCCCTAATTTAGCTATTAGCAGTAGCCGGTTTATGTACCTTATGTAGGCCTATGATGTCTAGATCGCCTAGGAATACTACTTAAACTTACTTTAAACTTAAGTTTAAGGCGGCAACTGATACTACTGAGATAGTAGTAAATAAGTCATATTGTAGTGCAGTGTAATTGTAGGTAGGCCTCTGTAGGCTAATTACATTTTTATTTACAATGCAGTGATTAGGTCTACTGATCCTCATCAGACATTAGAGATGCATTAAGTACTGATACTGATAGGCTTATATTATTATATAAAATCTTTTAAAAATGACGCAATGGCACCATCAATTAATTTATAAATTATTAAGCCTAGAATATAGTCATTAGTGTGGAAGCCAAATATGATACCTATGCTAGAGTCTAGAACATGGGCATAGCTACAGCTAGGATAAAAGTGACGCCTGGGCCCTGGGACGGGTCAAGATTTTTTCTGCCCCCATTCCATGAAAAAAAACTCTGCAGTTGTCCAAAAATGGCTCACCTCCATACAATAATGAATAAAAGAATTGTCACCCAGTCCCTCACCCCTGATCTTGTCTAATTAGTAATTTACACTGACACTGGGATTATAAGGAAGAAAGGAATTCATAAATTAAATAGTTACAGTCGTAATTTTTACAAATTGAGGCTTCTGCACTTGTGAGTTACTTAAGGCCTGCCTACTCACTGCTACTCAATAATTATAAATCAGTTCTATAGTTCCCTTAGGTGAAGTAAGGCATACGCCTTGTAATACTAAGTAGGCAGTGTCTACAGGTCTGGCGCGCCGGATGTATATCTCCCGTACTATTTGTCCGGCGACCAAGTCACATGACCGCCGTAACAAAGTGGCGAGAGATATCTTGTTGGTCAGCCTTGTCACGTTGACTGCGAATGATTCAAAACTATTATTAATTTTAAAATCTATTTCTCTACCAAGTAATGTACTGAGTATCTTGAATGCAAATAATAGAAAAAAACTTAAGTGAAAGAGGCTTGTAAACATTTTTGTTTAGTTTGTTATTTGAATTTGTGTACCAGTAATACATAAAATAAATTAGGGGCCAGTGTGGAGTAGGCAACCAATAAAAGTAAAAGATTTCATTTTAAATTGTTTAAATTGCTACAAAATATTTAAAAACTTCTCATGAAACTACTGTTGCTGATGAACAAGATATTATAAATATAGTATAAAATATTTTTAATTAAAATGGGAAGAAAAAAAAAAAGATCCCCGGTATTGATCCTCAAATCATAATAACGCCTAGCGTCCACTCTACCATTAGACCACACAAGATCTACCAAACCGCACTTCGTTCGGAATTATAAAAGCTACTAGCCGTCCGGCGGTCACGTGACATGCCGCCGGACGTATATCTTGGGCACTATTTGTCCGGCGCGACGGACGTGTAGACACTTCGATTCATCGTACTTAGTAACTAAAACTGGATATTTCTCCTAGTAACTAGAAGTCTTGATAATTTACTTAATGATAGTAGTAAAAATGTCTGAATGTTAAAAAGTAAGCCTAAAGTCTGAAGTGAAAAATTAAAGCTCTGCTTAATTATACAATTATTATTATTATAATTAGTATAGACATATTTCACATTCATAAAACAATGACAAAATATTTTAAATACCGGGTACTGAATATCACTAATGCTAATACTATCTAAAAGGCAACTAAACCTATAGTCTAAATGTTAAATAAAACTAATTGAAGTATTAATAAATTACAAATGTCTAATTTAGTAATATTAGTATAGACTATATTGTTATAGACCTATACCTGTGTTTCCCAATGAGGCATGTGCACCCCTGAAGTGGACAATTTGAAATCTATGGGGTTAAATTTAGAATCTGGAATAGGGAATTTATTTTTATAGGCCTGTATGTACAAACTGACCTAATTAGATTAATAGGGTTGAATAAAATGTGTATTATATATTCATTGCCACATTTGACAACTGACACTGGTAACCAATAACTGATACCCAGTTTATTAATGAAACCATTTGTAAAATTGTAATTGTCAGGAATCATAAGGCCTATTTTTCATTTGTTTATTTCATAAGAAACTACCAACTTATTAAGTGTAAACTAATTTTCATCTCCTTTTTTTCTATACTATCTAGGTCACAAAGTAAGGGAGGTAAAATTATGATTTTTTAGCTAAGGTGTAAAAATGGCTGATGAAATAGAAGAACCCCTACCTTCCTCTCCACCTCTTCCTAAGAAAGGTTCATACCAAATTGACTTTGACACTCTAGATGACACAGTCAACCCATTTCAACCTAAGGTTAAACTGGGCTCTTCGCCACCAATTAAAGTTGGCAATGTTGCTCCAAAATTTGGGGATCCTGATGATTGTATAGATCCTTTCAAACCCAAGGTTAAGCTGGCCAGTTCACCTCCAAGCTCTCCAAAAGCGAGGACATACAATAATAATATTGAAGATGGGTCAGATTTGCAGAGTACTTCCATCCTTAAAGATATCCCAGATGATGTGGATAATATTACCAACAATGCCCATCCATCTGTAAATAAAAGTTTAGATCAGTTAGTTGATTCAGAGATTAAGTCACCAGGCATTCCTAAGTAAGTCAAAAGTGTGTCAATTGCTATTAAAGTTATCCTTTACTTAATTAAGAAATTTCAAAAAAACAAAAGAATTTTTTTTTTTTTACTTAACTTAAGGAATGCAAGGATTGTAAACAAAAAAGTTTTTTGTTCATATAATTGTGCTTCACAGAAATAAAAAAAATTAAAATGAAAACACAAGGTGGGTTAGTGTAATTTAAATTCTTAAATGAAAAACATAAGCTATCAGCATTTTTACTTTTTAAGCATTGAGCTGTGTGACATCCTGGCATCTATCTTATAGAATTACTAATTCACATTGTATTTAACATAAATAACATGTTAATTTATTTTTCATTGGGAATAAAAAGGATAACTTTTGTATTTTTATCACAGGCCTAAAAAGATTGTGAAAAAATCTAAAATTCAATCCAAGCTGAAACTTCCTAAAACTGGGAAATTGCCTCAGGTAACGTAAACTGATTTTGAAATTTCTAAATGTTTTGTCCCCATACTTTTTTCAGCTTTTTAAAAAAATTATTTTATAAATAGATATAAATGACTTGAGACAATTAATAATAATATTAAAGTTTATTTAAAAAACACGCTTCATCCCCAAAGGCTCAAAGCGCTGTACAAAGTAAAAATATATATATATATATATATATATATAATTTACCACATTTAAAACAAACGCAACACTAAAAAAAAGTCATTCTACCCATTTCAACCCTTAGCAACACAGCCAATATGCTTTAACTGGAAAATATGGTAGACAATCATCCCAGAAGGGGTTTGCGAAATAGATGTGTCTTTAAATCGGTTTTAAAGGACTCCATAAAATGATTCTCTTATATGAATATATTTTTAATATATATAAATATATTTTATAAAGGGCTATAAATGAATTGAGACAATTTCACAAAAATCAATTCTCTTATATAAATATATTCAATTGTGCAATGTTTATCAGTAACAGTTGCTGCTGCTATGCCAAAAAAAGTTATATTTTAAAATAATATAAAATATATAAGAAAACTTAGTGACTGCTTGTTACTTATTCTCTTATTTAAAATTTATTTCTAACATAGTCTTCAAATGATGAGATTCAAATATTCATGCCTGGTGTCAATGAGAATAATTCAAAAACTGCTGATGACCCTGAGGCCACAAATAATTTGCAGTCTCCACAAAGTAAACTGTTTATTAAGAAAAAAGATTCTTTGAATGGTGAGGGTAGTTCAACAGCTGAGGGAGATTTAACAAGATCAGATGAAAAAGAATTTATTGATTCATCTAATGGTGAGATGCCATCTTTTTCTGCACCTGATGCAATGGCATCCAGCTCTGAGATAGACCCTCAGTTTATTGAACGGGATGACATGTATGAAACCAATGAAGGATTTAATCCCAGAGTTGAGGGTTAGTGGCTCAATTTTAACCACGATTATGTCTTTAGAAATATTAGTATTTTTATATTGAGGTTTATAATTTCTGTTTTAAGAAGAACCCATCATAATTATTATGATATATTACATGTTTCAATCTTATTTTCATGCTAAATTGATGGGAAAATGCATAACTTTAATTAAAATTTCTTGTTCCTTTCTTCATTCAGCTTTTGATAACTGCAAAGAATGGGATCCTTTAAGTAAATCACCTAAAGAAAAGGTAAACCATCTAGATTATTTTTTTAATGTCAGTGATCCTCCTTTGTCTTTTGTTAAAAAATAACGAAAAACTATTTCAACTATTTGCGACATAATCTCCACTATAAAAAAATACTTGATTGAAAGAAGTGCTTATTTTTTTACCTTAGGATAAGGCTTTAAAATCAAAAGATGGGTCATCATTGATGGAGACTGATTCACCTATCACACCTTTTAAAGGTAAGTGGCACAGAATGCTCACATTTACAACCATTTCTGTCTAAACAAATTTTCTTAATGTAAATAAAATCAAGTTAAACATTGTCCATGCATACTTGAGATTTGTTGAAAAAAAAAAAAAAACTGGAGTATTCATTTCCATGAGAATGCCTACATCCATACATATGAATTACAGTGCAACATATGTACCATACTGACAGATTTGTGTACCATACATAAATACTGCCACATTACTATTACCACACATTTACAGCCACACACCCATACGCTCAACTGCAGATTTTGTTCATTGGAGTTTTTAATAAATTTTCACCACAAGCACAATTTGAAATAGTTAGTTTGCTCATACTTCTATACTTAAGACCAAAATGATCATTTGCCAGATAATTATTATCCTATAAAGCCAAATTTGAAAATAAAGCAACATTCATCATTTGAAAATTTAATAACGAAAGGGGATACATGGCTAACTTGTGTTTATCTTGTTATTAACTGTGTTGTAAAATACAACCTGAGTATCCTTCACAGAAAATAAAATCAGCCAGTTTCTGTAGAGGCATAATTTTTTTTTCTAAACTTGTAGACTTGTAAACTTGTATCCGTGTCTGTGATGGACATTTTCTTCTTTTTATCTCACACCAAGTTTGGAATTGTTTTCCAACTTCATTGGTTTTAAAATTTTTACTCAGGGGTTATCTCCTCCCCCAAGAAAAGTTGTCTAGTGGACAAATATAATAGGGATTATTTGTTTGATAAATGAAGATCAATTATTTGTTTCAAGACAAATACATCTCCATGACATAGACAACATAATCTCATTATATTTACATAAAGTTTCTGTATAAATTTGATGGAACTATCAGTCTGCTTTCTTTAATTTATATTGCTAACATAATTTTCTCTTTCTCATATTCTTATTTCTACAAATATTTTGTAGTTTTTCTGATATTCTGTTAAGAAAGTAATATAAGGAGGATACTTAAAATTTCTACAATAATAAAATTGAAAACTGTGTCTAACATAGTGTGTCAGTTTCTAAGATAACGTGTCAATGGCTAAGATAATGTCTGTGTCTCAGGTAATATGACAGTGTCTAAGGTAATAAAACAGTGCCTAAGATAATGTGATAGTGACTAAGATAATGTGTCACTTTCTAAGATAATGTGTCAGCGGCTAAGATAATGTGTCAGTGCCTAATATGTGTCCATGTCTCAGATAATTTGACAGTGTCTAAGATAATATAACAGTACCTAAGATAATATGACAGTATCTCACATAACAAGACAGTGTTTAAGATAATGTGACAGAGTCTATGATGATGTCTAAATGTTCAATACAACCTGAGCTATTGTGAGCCTTGAGGCACTTTTTACAGTCATTTTCATACAGACATAAAAGAGAGCAGTTCTCTAAAGACATATAAAAGGATTTATTCAGATGCATATTTTATTGAGATTGTTTTCATACAATAATTTTTTGATTTTTATTGGTGTTGAAACACTTAATATAGCCTCTATCAAATTATATACAGGTAGCATGATCACATAAAAGAACTTAACTCTTTTGACTACTAATCATTTTAGGCCTGATTTTCTTTTGTTGTCCCCCTTAATTTTTTCATTTAATTTTTTTTTTTTTTTTTCTTTTTTGAAAACTGTAACACCATACAATTAAGGGGATCATTAAAGTGGGGGTCTAAAACCTGTGGACAAAAATTTGAGGAAACGCAAGGAAATGGGGGGGGGGGGGGGTTTTCTTTTTTGAAAACTGTAACACCATACAATTAAGGGGATCATTAAAGTGGGGGTCTAAAACCTGTGGACAAAAATTTGAGGAAACGCAAGGAAATGGGGGGGGGGGTGGTTTTAAGGGAAGGAATACAAAGTGAAGCAACTTTGACTGTTGAATAAGGGGTTTGGTGAAGAAGCTTGAATAAGGGGTTGGGTGAAGACCATTGAATAAGGGGTTGGGTGAAGACCATTGAATAAGGGGTTGGGTGAAGACCCTTGAATTAGAATAGGGGATTGGGTGAAGGCCATTGCATTAGGGATTGGGTGAAGACCCTTGAATAAGGGGTTGGGTGAAGACCATTGAATAAGGGGTTGGGTGAAGACCCTTGAATAAGGGATTGGGTGAAGACCCTTGAATGTGGGGCTGGGTGAAGACCCTTGAATAAGGGATTGGGTGAAGACCCTTGAGTAAGGGATTGGGTGAAGACCCTTGAATAAGAATAAGGGATTGGGTGAAGGCCATGAATAAGGAATTGGGTGAAGATCCTTGAATAAGGGATTGGATGAAGACCCTACCTAAGATCTTATCTGATTGCCAGTTGTGATCTACGTTAAATGATATGGTCATTATTAGTAATGATATACAAGGACTGCTAGGTACTACATTAAATGATATGTTCATTAATAGTAATTATATATAAGGACTGCTAGATAAGTAGCAGTTAAACCAAAGATGAAACATTCATGTTACAGGATTGTTTAATTTAATTAATATTACACATATTTTTAAACAATTTTAAGCACCCTTTACAAGTTCATTCACTATTTGATGACTGAAAGCACTCTATACATGTACATATATATAATATGTCCTAATTTAAAAGAACTATAAATGTGCATGTATATCTAATATTTCCTATTTTAAAATAGTCTATAAAAGTACATGTACATTTAATGTTTCCTATTTTAAAAGAGACTATACATGTACATTTAGATGAATTGATAAAGAGATACCCGCTATCTTGCTGAAATGTTAGGCCACTCCCCCTAAGGCATTAATGCAGACAAAGTGTCTGTCCAACCATCCTTTTCTGGATACCACAAATACATCATAACGCAGTTTGTGTGTGTACACAGCACAGAGATATCTCCCTCTCCACATAATACAAATGTCAAAAAATTCTAGTCATGTACATGTAATGTGATATCAGACATTACCTGACACCAGCTCCCTGGGTACCCCTGAAGCTAATCATCCCAATGCCTGTGGTATGGCTGTCTGTGTTATGGCTGTCTGGCTGTGAGAGTAACAACTTATGAGCATGCCATGCCTTCAATATGAAGACATCTTTTATGCATGACTCATGTTTTAACAATTCCCAAATCAATATCATCTGTCTGCTGCTTCTTATTGATCTTGGTAAATTAGCATATTTATATCATTTCCCACAAAGCATTGTACTGTGCTAACCTGTTTAAGGAGGCTATTGGAGCCTCATGTGTTTACAATCTGTCACACAGCATTGTACTTTGTTAACCTAGTCCAATTTGGGTAGTAAAGAGTATGATAGCATGCACACATCTTAACAGCCTTGATGACTATGTGCCATATCTGATATTCCTGATGAATGTGGGAAACATAATACAATATTGATGACTTTGGGAAACATTCAACAATCAATGATGACTCTGACACACGTCTGACATACTTGATGACTGTTTGGCACAACAAATATCCTTGATGACTATTTGAAACGTCTTAAAATCCTTGATGACTATTTGAAACATCTGAAATCCTTGATGACTATTTGAAACATCTGAAATCCTTGATGACTGTTTGACACATCTGAAATACTTGATGACTGGACACATCTGAAATACTTGATGACTGTTTGATACATCTGACATACTTGATGACTGGACACATCTGACATACTTGATGACTGGACACATCTGACATACTTGATGACTATTTGACACATCTGACATACTTGATGACTGGACACATCTGAAATACTTGATGACTGCTTGACACATCTGACATGCTTGATGACTATTAGACACATCTGAAATACTTGATGGCTGTTTGACACATCTAACATATGCTCTGATGTATTTACCTCAGCCGAGCTCTCCTCCCTCCCCCCCCCCCTTTTTTGTTTTTTCTTTTTCGGAAATTCTTTTACTTATTTACTTTAGGTCGTTTTTCAGGGAAATCAATGAATCAATGCCATCACTTTCAATTCCTTTCAATAGACTTTCTCTTTACAATCGCCCAATTCTAATACGGTGGCACTTCATCACGCTGTATAACAGGGCGCCACACGCTGTATAACGGGGCGCCAGTGCGCGCGGATTTCTGTTGTAAACTATTAAGAGTTAACTCAGTGATGAGGACTGGGGCAACATGCACACGCGGGGGTTGGCCGGTGGACGGCTTCGGCCGACAGCTGTCGTCAACACAGAGCATTTCAACCAGGAAGAGAGAAGTACAACGCTGAGTCATTCCTTTGATTGTTACGACGGTCGTGTCACCTCTGGTCCCGTTAACAATGAGAGGATAGGAAATGCTTAACAGGGTACTCGGTGCCTAACAGGGTACTATGTTTCTAACAGGGTACTCGGTGTCTAACAGGGTACTCGGTGGCTAACAGGGTACTCAGTGTCTAACAGGGTACTCGGTGGCTAACAGGGTACTCAGTGTCTAACAGGGTATTCGGTGTCTAACAGGGTACTCAGTGTCTAACAGGGTACTCGGTGTCTAACAGGGTACTCGGTGTCTAACAGGGTACTCGGTGTCTAACAGGGTACTCAGTGTCTAACAGGGTGTTCGGTGTCTAACAGGGTACTTGACAAAAACGTGAGCTCAAGTTACGCACATTTAAGAATGCCAATTTTGCTACACCACTCCCCCCTCTCCCCCTTCTCATGATACGTCACTGCACACTTTGTATTTCACTCTATAAATATAGCCGACCCGCGGCTTAGCAGACGCCGCGAGCTTGTTGGGGTGTGCGCATGGCTGGCAAGCGATGGGGGGGCGGGAGGGGGGGGGGGGTGTTAGCTCCACCGCAGTGCGCATGTCTCGAGACCAACGCTGGGCAGGCAAGGGAAGGGAGGGGGGATTTGCCTGCGTCCGTCTTGCTTGCTTGCTGTGGCGTATCTATATATAGCCTGCGTGGTCGTCGCCTTCATGTTTGCCCTACTTCTGATAAAATATATCAGTGATTCTCAACCTTCCTAGTGCCGCGACCCTTTAATACAGTTTCTCGTGTCGTGGCGACCCCCAGCCACACAATTATTTTCGTTGCTACTTCATAGCTGTAAGGATATGTGTTTTCAGATGATCTTAGGCGACCCCTGGAAAAGGTTGCGACCCACAGGTTGAGAATCGCTGAAATATATAGAGAGATTGTATTGCAATGCAATACATCCGACCCACCCCATCACTTTCTTCACCCCACCCCCATTTTTCATGTTTCCCATAATCTTGTGATCGCTTCCAACATTATCGGTAGTTGAAACAACCATGGTCAAGTTTGTTATGCGGTGCACATTTTTTAAAGCCTTGCATATTCATTTTAACATAATATGATTTGTACAAGTTTCTGTCGGTTATTTTGTCAATGCAACGAATCATTACATCACAAACTATAGGTTATTTTGTCAATGCAACGAATCATTACATCACAAACTATAGGTTATTTTGTCAATGCAACGAATCATTACATCACAAACCATAGGTTATTTTGTCAATGCAACGAATCATTACATCACAAACTATAGGTTATTTTGTCAATGCAACGAATCATTGCATCACAAACTATAGGTTATTTTGTCAATGCAACGAATCATTACATCACAAACTATAGATTATTTTGTCAACGCAACGAATCATTGCATCCCAAACTCGACTGCCCATTGTCATGTCCACCAAGCTACTTACGGCCTGTATTGATGGCAGCCAAGAAAGTCCAGCGATGCACCAAACGTGTCCGTCCAACACTGAATGGCTAATGTTTGCCAATAATTGCCCGTGTGCTTGGCCCGGCACTACACCTACTAGCAGGTTACGTTAGCTTCCAGTATTAATCACGTGACCGCTTAGCACAAGATGAGTAATGCCCCCCTCCTTTTTTCCCACGAGGTGCCTGCAGGCAAACATAGCCAGATGGTACGACTACTACCCCTTTTTTTGTTTTTTTTTAGTGGGAGCGAGTTTTTCCATCTTATTTTTTTGTTTGTTTCCTTCAAAGAATGCACCCCCTCCCCGTCCATCTCTCCCCGTTGAACGGTGTGGCACGCTTGCGCCCAACACAAAGATAACCACGAGAATAGCCGACACGTAAGTCGAAGAAAGAATATTGAGTAAGCGCGAGCTGTGAATGGTGGGGAAAGCAATTCATTGCACCAGGTTGTGCTCCCGGTTGTGGTCTGCCAGTGATTAGTTACGTGGTGAGTACCCAGATTTCTCTTCCTGTTTGTTTGTTTGCTCATCCCATACCTTCTTAAATTGAAAACCCCCAGATAATGAAAGTGTAACAATACGTTGCATTATGTTAAGACAAGTGTATGCATATTATGCCATAAGGTAGCGATCAGTTTATAAAATACTGGCCACTAGCATTTCCAGTGTTCAGTGTATTCATTAATAATTGTATGTGCATTATATCGACGTGTCTATAAGAGGTCACTCTGCTGATATTGACTTGAATTATGTTCTGCACCATGTAATATAGAAGCCTGCTCAAGGAACGCTATGTTAACATGAACAATTCTTATCTTGATACGACTTTGAAGTTTGGCTCGTGATTTTAAAAAGTTTGTTTCAGCAGCCTTAGTTCCTTTGACGTTTGTTAAACGTTGGGATCTTTCCCAGGCCTAGATCTTTGTTTGAAGATCCCGTTTCTTATACGCCGTCTAAATAGATTGACACGAAACCCCTGTGCTATCACGGTCCTCCAGTACCAGTTTGTCTTTGAAGTGGCTAGCCGTAAACTGATAACTGAACTCATTATCAAGTCTGTAAACTTATTTTTAATATATTTATATATTTACTTTGGGGGGTGGGGGGGGGGGGGTAAACGTGTAGTTTATATACAGGCATTGTTTACTTTGGAGAGTGAACGTAGACATGCCCCTATCCTCCCTGTGTAGGGTATATATAGACATTATTTACTATGGATAGTGAACCTTAACATACACCCCCCCCCCCTTTTTTTTTCACTATCAAGACCAGGGTTTTACATTCTTATATATCTGGACCCCCATAAAATTTTTTGGACGAAAAAGCCGCGCCCCCTAAACAGAGTGACAATATATTTTAAAATGACAAAATACATATCAATATTTATACCTGTAATAAATTATCTCGTACCGCTAAAATGCCTGGTTCGGACTCTTATCCCTGCTTAAACCTGAAACTCCCAATCTACGACCCACCCCCTTTTCACACCCCAATCCACCCATCAACCCGTGTAATCCCCACCCTCAACCAACCCTCCCCCCCACCTACCTTTCCACACTACTGTGCCAGGATACCCGTCTTATGGTAACATAAGTCTGACTAAACTAGAATGTGTACCATCTTTTCACTGTGGGTGTCACTGCCAGAGACTGAACAAACACAATGGCACTGCATGGGGCATCTCCTAGACACATATCAACGGTTCTTAACCTTCATAACCAGACCCTTTCTCCACAGTCACCGAGTCTTAGTGGCCACGCAAAGGATCATTTTAAATTTAGAATAATTCATATTATTGATGTACTTTTCGATGATTACAGTTTCAGTGAGTGTGTCCCGAGCCATTCTACGTCACAAATACCATCATTCCAACACACACAAACACAATTATTCGCACACACAAACACAATCATGCACACACACAAACACAATCATACACACACACAAACACGATCATTCGCACACATATAAACACGTACAAGAGTACCATTCAAGTGTGAAAGCAGTACAATACTCTACCGGTATAGAGAAGGGCATAGAATAATATACCATATCAAAATATGGGACATAATTTTAAAAAGCTGTCTATACTATACATTATAAAAAGTGTTGGACTGTGATCAAGCTTTAAACTAGATTAATTAGCCACGAACACTTAGTGTCACCTAGAACACTTAGTGTCACCTAGAACAATATTTATTATTATTATACGTGGTTTTATATAGCGTGGTACCCCGCCTAGGGCTGGGCTCACCACGCTGTACATACAATTGAACAAACATAATCAAAAATATAGATATGTTAAGCCGTTCTTCTTGACTTTGTTTCTGTCTGGGTTTTTTAGCCCTATGGGCGCCCGCAGAAAACTTTCTAGGGGGTGGGGGGCAAAAAAAAAAATCGATTAACTTTCTAGGGGGGGGGGCAACATTTTTTTAGTAATGTTTTAATGTAGTTTTAATTTACTGTAGCGTATTTGTATGGTGAACGAACGGACAGGACATCAGCTTAGTCACTTTCTCTTTTTTTTTTCTTTACTTTAATACATTTTTTGTCTAAAAAAATGTATCCAATCAACCCGGGGGGGGGGGCAATTTCCCCCCCCCCTGCGGGCGCCCATGGATATAGGTATATACATATTATCTGCATTTAATGTAAACTTATTTTAATGTTTTGTTGTTTTACTGATGAAGGCATCTGTCGAAAGTCTATTTGTGTATTATGTCAAATTATTATTAAAGCTTAACATATATTGTTATATTGACACACATTATTTTTGTCTAATTAATCGATATAAATTATAAAACGTATACTAATATATTCACGCAACGAATGGGAATGGGTTTTTTTTTTATATCAAACTTAGTGCATTTTAAAACCTAATAGACTAAAGCTATCTTTAAACCCAAATACGTCACAAGTACGACGCACATAGCAACAGCTACACAATTAATCTCCACTGCAAAACACGCACCCATTGAACAGATCATATTTCATTCATCTTCCCCTTGAAAAAACCGGACAAACTGATTTAGGGGGGTTGGGGTGGGGCTGAAAATTTGTTAGAATGTGCTGTCATCGGCAGCGAGTCTATGTGGCAAGTTTTTAGTTCGATAGGATGACGGGAAGTGGGTCAATTGGCCTTCCGAAGATTGGAAAACACAATAATCCTCATTTAGGATTGAGAGAACATAAGTAGACATAAGCTCTTGTGAATATATTCCATATAATCGAGTGCCTTATTATAAATATTAGCTTACAGGTGCAGACTTTTTTTGTGTACGTTGTATCGGTATTAACCGAACTGGTCATAACGTAATGTGGTCTTTTTATATTTTACCTCTCAACATTTCTCTAGCGTTGCCGTTAATCTGAATTATGTTAGGAACCGTAGACCTACATCCTTTTAGAGAATGGCATTCTGCCGTTTTGTCTTGCCATTCCGAAGATAATATCCGGGACTTCAATAGACTGTGTACAATAACCATGTTTAAACGTATGCTTTAACCGATATATCAACACGAACCATCTGGTTGTAGGGTATAAGAAAATGGACTATACAAATGTTAGCATAAATACCTTGAATGAATGCTTGTCTCCTGACGTCAAAAAATCATCTCGTCTGTTACATGGAGACGTGTGGAACATGAAGTTCTATACAAATTCCATCCAAAGTACATCGAGCATGTGTTAAAACTCTCTCAGTCTCAGCTCTTGAATCTAATAGTCTCTTGGTGTAGATGTTTTGTAACTAAACATATGTTAGGAATCCTTGGTTATAGAGATCATATAAGTGTTCCATCTTCTTCACGGAAACAACTTTCGCATCAGACAGTGTGACGCCAAGCTCAGAAACACCGGACCGCACACAAATGGAGCATATGCTGCATGATGCCAATAGAATACCGTATTGTTTTAGTCCAACGCCTTGAAATACAATTCTGTTGAAATTCGGTCCTACTTTATCACTGTCGTCGTCTTGATGTAGCCCCGAGTGCCAGAATCCCGGCACCACTATCCCATGCGTCCAGCTAGTGTACGTCTTGGGTTTAGTGGCGGCTCGCCCCCCACGCTGTCGTGTAGACGCTGCGGCTCGAGGCAGGCGAGATCAATATTCCAGAGCGGAATGCTGTAGATTTAGTGACACCCGAGGTCTACCGAATCTTCCCAGCCGTGTTGTACATCGGACTCTAGGCGGTAACTTATGGAGGTCCTTCACCATGTTCCCTGGGCGTGTTAGTGCCTCAAGCGGTGGATAGCTACCATCTGATCAACACGATTTTATGGGGAAACGTACGAGCTGAAGAAACATGGCTGAAAAAATCATGACACTGTCCGGCACGGAGCTGGGTACACGAAGTAAGTGATTGTTCGGTGTGAGTCTTATCGTCAACCAGTGGACAGTGGGTCAGCTGATCCCGTTGCTAATGTCGTTAGTCTCACATCCAAGCAGTGGTAGGTTCTGGTGTTAAATGTGAACACATTTATGTAGAGGCGAGATTCATCAGTCACGCACAATAGAAATCGATAATAAATTGATCGTGACCGGTGTTTGGCTTGGCCTTTTAACGTGTAGGCGAATGTCGCATGTAGCACACTTGGTCTCTGTTGCTTTAGTTGATATTCTGTGGATGTTTTAGTAGACGCTTTATGTATAGTTAGTGTAGTTGAACTTTTGTGGATGTTACAGGAAGACGTTGTATGTCAAGTTGATTTTCCGTGTGGATGCTGTAAGATAAGATTCTTTTATTGTTACAAATAAATGGAAACGTTTTGTATTTTATCATTACAGCGTACATTTTCACTGTTTGCTCATACTCTTACCAAGACAAATGTTTTTAAAACCATAACAATTTATCACGGGACATCTGAAGTAGCTCTCAAGCGCAAAAATCAGCGGTCATATTTCATGGAACTTCACTCAGTCAGTGACAAAATTGACTTTAGGAGTGATTGTTTAGGTTTTGTAGCATCGGGGGGGGGGGGGGGGGGGGGGGGGGGGGGGGAGCACGCTGGTAAATTCTGATAGATCGGGGAACACATGAATTTTCATATTATTCGGTCCTCACAGTTTCTTAAGTTTCTTAAGGGAAAGAATTCGCTCTGATCAAGCTGATCGCAGGTGCTGGTGTCTGTGGTGACGACGGTGGGATGGACCCGCCAAAATCATGTCACTCTATGTTAAGTTGATATTCTATCGATTTTATAGGAAAAGGTCGTGTTAAGATGATAAGCTGCTAATCTTAGAGGAACCATTTTGGACGTGCAGTTGATATTCTGTGGATGTGATAGCAAGACTTTGGAGTTACAGCACATCAATGTGTTACTTGATAAATTTCAGAGCGTTTACTGTTTAGGAAATACTACTGAATATTTAATACATTGTAAAGCATGCACTGTTTAGGAAGGCTATTAAATATGCAAAATATCAAGGTTTCACTATGTTATATCAGTTTCCAGTATCGATCTACCAGAATATTTGTTTTTACTGTAATATCTCTATCACAATCACAGGCAAAACAGTTTGCACAATCAAATCTGTAAACAATCACATGCAGTTTTTGCAATCAAATCTGCCACAGTCGCAGGCAAAATACCTTTCACAATCAGATGTGTCCCAATCACTTCAAAGAAGGCTGACACAGAGACGCTCATTGAATGGGTTCAGATTGACTGCAAGTACTAAAACTGTATTTAATTAACAATATTGGAGTGTCATACTGGAGTAACCAATGCATTTATGGTTGGACAGTTCTTGATTGATGGCCACTTCATTTAGTGAATTCAGTTGGTTTACAATCTGGGATAACCACTACAAGTAATGACACTCATTTTGGTGACAGTCTGGGAAACCACTTCATGTTATGACAATGATTTGGTGACAGTCTGGGATAACCGTTGCATGTAATGACAATGATTTTGTGACATTCTGGGATAACCACCTCATGTTATGACAATGATTTGGTGACAGTCTGAGATAACCGTTGCATGTAATGACAATCATTTGGTGACAGTCTGAGATAACCGTTGCATGTAATGACAATCATTTGGTGACAGTCTGGGATAACCACTTCATGTGAGGACAATCCTTTGTAATTGTCATAATGAATATTCACTTGGTTAAACCTGCGGTCAAAGTATTTCAAATAATTGAAGAGAACTGTTGTTGCCCCGTGCTCACCCACATCTGGCTTAATTGTCGCGCTCACAGTCACACGGTGACCTGTGTCCCCCCCCCCCCCCCTTGGTTAAACCTGCGGTCAAAGTATTTCAAATAATTGAAGAGAACTGGTGTTGCCCCGTGCCCACCCACATCGGGCTTAATTGTCGCGCCCACAGTCACACGGTGGCCTGTGTGCCCCCCCCCCCCCCTATCGAGGCGTGTAGCTCGTGCTTAGTCAGAGTTGAATCTTATCAGCTGTGTTAGGATGGCGCCTAACCCTTCGGAGACCCAGGAAACCCCGATGATCAATTTGTAGTATATGGAGTTGTGTTCTTGTAAGTACTGTTATACTGTCATATTGAGGTGCTTGTGGCTGTGCGTGTGTGTAATGCTGTGTCTCATCAAGCTAGAACAATAGCCGTGTCAAGTGTGGCACACGTATTGGTTTTCCACAACGATACACATGTATGTGTGCTGTGGCAGGGCAGATTTTCTGTGGTATTTCCAATGCAAGGGTTGACACCGGTACTCACGGCTAGTCGAACGGAAGCACTGCTTAGGGTGCAGCTATGGTGGGGTACCATCTCTAAACATGGAAGAAATTTGTTGCTGTTGTTAGGCTAATGATGTCGTGTGGGATAATGTTGTCGGTGGACTAGTGTTGTGGCCTGTTGATATGTAAATATAATAATCCAAATAAAATGCTGCCTTATTTTTATTACTTACTTTGAAATATGTAAAAATAAAAATATTGTTGACACAATAAATTAATAAAGCTTGTGTAGCTTGCTTCTGACTTATAAGGTACTCTACCCCTATACAAATACTCCCCTAGGCCCTGGCTTAACTGCACACTGGACACAGTCAGTACGGTACTTTACAATTGAATCCACTTCAATAATTCATTCAGATCTTATACAATTCAAGTTTTCTCTCACGTTTTTGTTCCCACAAACAAAGTTGTTTCTTAGAGGATCATTGTTGTTTTTTAAAAAATCATTTCAGAAAAAGTAGTGAAGCAGTCACCATCACGCCAGCAGTCGTCCAAAGCTCATATACCCAGGTAATGTCAGTGTCAGACTCTTATGTCAAAGCTCATACACCCAGGTAATGTCAGTGTCAGACTCTTTATGCTGGGGAGTAACAGTTTTTTGGTGTCAGCTGGTGTCAAGTTACAAAAGTATCTTGTTGGGTGGTTATGACATCATCCTGACATGGAGGTAGGTTGGACATAGTCCTGACATGCAGGTAGGTTGGACATAGTCCTGACATGCAGGTAGATTGGACATAGTCCTGACATGCAGGTAGGTTGGACATAGTCCTGACATGCAGGTAGGTTTGACATAGTCCTGACATGCAGGTAGGTTTGACATAGTCCTGACATGTAGGTAGGTTGGACATAGTCCTGACATGTAGGTAGGTTGGACATAGTCCTGACATGTAGGTAGGTTGGACATAGTTCTGACATGCAGGTAGGTTGGACATAGTTCTGAAATGTAGGTAGGTTGAACATAGTCCTGACATGTAGGTAGGTTGGACATAGTTCTGACATGCAGGTAGGTAGGACATAGTTCTGACATCAGGTAGGTTGGACATAGTCTTGATATGTAGGTAGGTTGGGCATAGTTCTGACATGCAGGTAGGTTGGACATAGTTCTGACATGCAGGTAGATTGGACATAGTTCTGACATCAGGTAGGTTGGACATAGTCCTGATATGTAGGTAGGTTGGACATAGTTCTGACATGCAGGTAGGTTGGACATAGTTCTGATATGTAGGTAGGTTGGACATAGTTCTGACATGTAGGTAGGTTGGACATAGTTCTGACATGTAGGTAGGTTGGACATAGTTCTGACATCAGGTAGGTTGGACTTAGCTCTGATATGTAGGTAGGTTGGACATAGTTCTGACATGTAGGTAGGTTGGACATAGTTCTGACATGTAGGTAGGTTGGACATAGCTCTGACATGTAGGTAGGTTGGACATAGTTCTGACATGTAGGTAGGTTGGACATAGTTCTGACATCAGGTAGGTTGGACTTAGCTCTGATATGTAGGTAGGTTGGACATAGTTCTGACATGTAGGTAGGTTGGACATAGTTCTGACATGTAGGTAGGTTGGACATAGCTCTGATATGTAGGTAGGTTGGACATAGTTCTGACATGTAGGTAGGTTGGACATAGTTCTGACATGTAGGTAGGTTGGACATAGCTCTGATATGTAGGTAGGTTGGACATAGTTCTGACATGTAGGTAGGTTGGACATAGTTCTGACATGTAGGTAGGTTGGACATAGCTCTGATATGTAGGTAGGTTGGACATAGTTCTGACATGTAGGTAGGTTGGACATAGTTCTGACATGTAGGTAGGTTGGACATAGCTCTGATATGTAGGTAGGTTGGACATAGTTCTGACATGTAGGTAGGTTGGACATAGTTCTGACATGCAGGTAGGTTTGACAGGATTCTGACATGCAGGTAGGTTTTGGAATCAATCAAATACTCTCCTACTAATGATCCTCAATTTCCCTGTATTTCTGTTTTGCTTCTTATATTTCACATATTTCCAAAATCTATTTGTTCATCAGCATCTTATTTTTCACAGTAATAATACATAAATTCTTCTACTTCCTGTAATTTTGGTTTTAGATAACCCAACTTCTGGCTATATCAATAATGGAGAACACATCAGATTTTGAACTACTTTCAATTTCTTGTTGTTTCTTCATTTTTCCCGTCTGCTGAGGCACTGTGCCGAAATGCTCTTCTTTTATTGTCCTGTCTATATATGTCAAGCTCCCACATACCTTGTTCCTGCAGTCCTTCATTTATTAGTTGCTGGTTTTTAGTTCTGACATGTAGGTAGGTTGGAATAATTTTGTCACACATCATTTGATTCATATTTCTGACATACAACTATGACAGGTCTATATTTGATCAATTGTTTTGACATACAATAAAAAAATGTCTATGCTTGATCAATATTTCTGACATACAATAACAACAGGTCTATAATTGATAAATAGTTCTGACATACAATAACAGCAGGACTATATTTGATCAATAGTTCTGATATCAATAACAACAGGTCTATATTTGATCAATAGTTCTGGCATACAATAACAGGTCTATATTTGATCAATAGTTCTGGCATACAATAACAGGTCTATATTTGATCAATAGTTCTGACATCAATAACAACAGGTCTATATTTGATCAATAGTTCTGACATACAATAACAACAGGTCTCTATTTGATCAATAGTTCTGACATACAATAACAACAGGTCTCTATTTGATCGTCAGGGATGATGATTTGCTTGGTATGAGCACGCCCCCGCAGGGGAAGCAACCAGAGAGTGTAAAGCATCCTGCCTCCGTGGCTCTGGAAGCTGCCCAGAGAGACAGCAGTTTCAAAGGAGCAGATTCTAAGGTAAGAAATCAATGACCCAACAACAGTTTACTGTTATCACAATGCGCCATGCTAGATTCATACTATTAGTAATATCTCTGATTATGTTACATTTGCTTGAATAATTGTGCCAGTTATTATTAAGTAGACTTACAGGCTTTGTTTTAGTAGAACCATTCTGAAATAATATTGTCACGCTCTGTCAAATCTTAATTATTTAGGCAATATCGGCTCAATTAACCATTCATTTCATATTTTCAAAAATACATATTTTGATAAATAAGTAACCCATTTAATATTTTTTTCTTATAAAGTTAACTTAATAGTTAAATTTATACTGGTTATATGAGAAAATTATTCCTAAGTCTGTGATTTAATTGAAGCTATGAATAAATGATAGCACCTAACAAATAGCACTTTTTACTTACAACCTTCACCGATAAACATATTTATTCCTATATCTTAGATTGATAGCAGTGGTTTTGAACCTCATTACAGCCACTGACTTATGATATTAGAAGAAATACATCATAGTTGTCTATGACATAAATAAAAACCATTTATAGATTGTATTTTATATCTTACTTTCAATGTAAAATAGAATTTCTTATGTAAATTAAAATAACCCGATAGTGAGTAAGCAATCAACAAAGTTTCTAATAGAGGATTATTTTGAACTTATGAGACTGCAATATTTATATAGCGCGGTACCCCAGCCTAGAAATTGTATAACCTAAAATATCTATCCAAACATTTCACAAGTACAATTATAATTGGCATTATAACTTATAACAGGAGAATTAAATTTTATTTCTAAAAATAAAATACTTTTATGTTATCTGTTCTACAAAATTCATCTCATTGGCATATAATCTTTTGATTTTCTTATTTATATTTTTTTTATATTTTAAAAAACTATAAAGATAACATCACCATGGATAAATCATGGCAGTGACTGTTGTGTCACATTATAATGTTTGCACATTTTGCCCACCTTACATTTCCCCTTTGCTTGTTTTTTATCCGTACAACAAAGATAATATGCGAGGTGAACATCAAACTGTAAAAGGAATACATTAAGCAGAAGGCGTGTTAAATCTTGAAATGATATCAAGCTTTAACATACCTTGCGCTCTACATATCCTTCATATTTGAAGTCACGGTTAATCTAGAAATTTTGAAAAGATATCTGAATGTTTTGAATTAGTTTTGTTAGAATAAATAACCATACTAATAACAAGGGAAAGTAAAGTTTGGTTTAAATAATTTTTTTCTTTAACACTCAAGAACAGCTTTAAGGATTTTTAAAAGTTGTTATTTTTTGCTCTTATGAAAGAACATATTTTCTTTAATTATGAAAATATTAAAGTTCACAAATTTTTTAATGTCTACAAATATAGATTTCTTTATTTTAAATAAATTGTTTTCACTTTAAGGGCATCTTTTTTATTTGAATCTGTTTTTGTCTCAGAAAATGCCAGATTTATTTAGCTTTAAAAACAACCAAATGTATTCTGTTGAGAAGTTGTTGTTGCTTTTTTTTAGTATAATTTCTTTGCAAAAAGTAACTCAGGATATCTGGAAAATCTTAAGACTTTAGACTTCCAGTTCTTGATTTGTTTTTGTTTATCTACTTGCAAGAACGAGTCTAGTTCTGAAGAGAGCCAGTTTTATGACGCTTATGATTACCCCCCTGTGGCCACAACAAAATCTAAGCTGGGACAGGTATCCTTGCTCACTTTTAGACATTTTTACAAACCCAATTAGGCATGGTGATGAAAATATGGCAACTTATCAACTTAAGTATCTATTAAAAAAACATTTATTAATGTACCTTTATCAGTACGCTTCAGTTATGCTTGTAAATCAGATATTTTTTGCAATTTAGTTTTTAAACCACCTTCACTCCTTTTTAAAATTCACTATTTTAAAAAATATATTTTTTTATATATATAAACAAATTTCTTATGTCATTGCATTTTTCACCATAAACCCACAATATAACATTTGACAAAAATATTTGTTAAAGCTAAAACTCTGTTGTCTAATAGTCATATTTTGTTTTGTTTTTAGACTCTCCCAATAACACATACTGCTATACTCTTGAAAAAGTATTTGCCAATATTGTTTTAATGAAGGATTATTCTTACCATTGAAAAGTATTCTTACAGCTCATGCACAAAACAACACTATTATCTTGATGAAAAGCTCTTATTTGAAATGCTAAACTATATAAATTCACAATAAATAAGTCTGTGCTATTTCTTTGTTCTAATTGAATTTGAACATTATTAACTCCAAAGCATGTCTTGGTTCAACTTAATACTTATCTCTAGTTAAATTAACTCGATAGCACGCATAAATGCAATGTACACTAAAAAGGCAACAATGTAAATGTTAATTCTTTTAACTTTGTAATTTTCATTTTTAGGTTGATTATTTTAAAAATAATTTTAATAATCCCATTAAATGTAACTACTCACATTATAGTCTTAACAACTCTGCTCTCACTTAACATGTTGTTGTATTACCCTGGTATCAGCTTGTAAATAAAATTGTTTCATTCAAGTCTGTAAGGGTTTAAAATATTTTAATTTTCAATTAAAGGATTAGTCAAATTTAAAAGAATTTAAATATGTGGCTTCTTCTGTAGTGCAGCACTGCACATTCAATTGATCACAAAAAGCACATTCTACTGAATATTGCTTCCTTTCTCTAATTAAAGTAATCCTAGGGTTTAATTTTCTAGTGTATACTACTGTCCTGTAAAAGTGTTTAACCACTTGGATAACGATGAAGTTGACGCGACGTCATGATCACCCACTTTCAAAGAACTTTTCTGAAATACTAAGGACGTCACATCGACGTCATATTGCAATGCTATATATTTCTTTATTAGTTAATCTATAGAGAAGTTAAAAAGCGAATCCGATAGAGGATGAAAATACAGAATTTTTTAAATTAATTTTTTTATTATATTTTTATATTTTTAAAAAAAAAAATTTTTTTAATTTTAAAAAAAATAAATAAAAAGGTATTTATTGCTGATTCAGCAAAAATTGATGCCCGCGCCGTGTGCCCCCCCCCCCCCCCCCCCCAAAAGTGGTAATCAGAGCCGGTCCTAGGAGTTTGGGGGCCCTAAGCATGGAGCGTAGGTTGGGGGCCCCGGAAGGGGGGGGGTCCGGGGGTGGAACTCCCTCGAGCTGCTTCCCTTCCCTTGCCTCCGAATTCAACACAGAATGATAAATTTCAGGATGAGGTAGGTAACGTGAGTGACACAGACGACTGCAGTGCCATTTTTTTAAAAAAACGGGGGATAGAGGGCGCCTCACGGGGGCCCCCTCACGTTCGGGGCCCTATGCGGATGCTTAGTCAGCGTATGCCTAAGAACGGGCCTGCGGAAATGAAAGGGTATAGGAAGTGTTCATAAAAGTGTTGGAAAGATTTATAAAATTGTGGTAAAGGTTTAAAAGAGTGTGTGAAGGGTTTAGTTATTAAGCTTTAAAATACATAAAAATACTCATTCTCAGTGTGTTTTTCGCATTTGGCTGGGGGGTCTCGGAACATTACCCCCATGATATTCGAGGTATTACTTTTTGTGTGTGTTTGTGTTTATATATATATATATATTGTTCATTTAATAATTTTTTTTTGCTTGGTAATCTTAGAAAAAAAATGCCACCATGTCAATTGGAATTCACTATGTCATGATTTCAAATCATAACAGAAGTTGGTAACCATTTTTATTGCCTTTGTGGTTAATCTTTTTTACAGATCTGATTGATGAAATGAAACTTAGCGCCAAATAATGCTTGTAATGTAGTAAACAAGATATTAATACATTTTTATTTTGAATTCTTTTTTTAAACAAATTCTTGTGTTACCTTTTTTTTTTCTTTTTCTTTTTTTTTTTACTTTCATTTCTATACTTGTTTGAATAAAATTCATATTAGATACTGAGTGTTTCTTTAAAAACATAATATGATCTATTTAATTTACATTTATTAATACATTTTTTTTTTGAATTTTTTTTTTAAATAAATTCTTGTGTTACCTTTTTTTTTTCTTTTTCTTTTTTGTTTTACTTTCATTTCTATACTTGTTTGAATAAAATTCATATTAGATACTGAGTGTTTCTTTAAAAACATAATATGATCTATGTAATTTACATATGTTAAAATAAAATGACTATTTGATGATATTATTTATCTTAAAACATAAAAAGCTTATGGTGTAATGTAGAGGCTTACATACTTATAACCATGGCATTTGATGCAAATTAAGATCAAGATTGATTCAATTTTTTTCTTTTCTTTATTCTGCATAGAAAAATAGTACTACAATGGACCGTGGTCCCAACCATGAGGAGGGTGGAGAGAACAAAGAAACAGTAGTACAGTTAGTACAGGTAAAAGTAAACATTGAATGATTCCATTGGTAAACAATGGTGTTGTTGTATTTCTTTATATACTACAATGAAAACCATTTTGTTACCGTGATACAAAGTAACTTGTTGTCATGTCACTTTTTCCTCATCTTCATTTCAATCATAAATTTTATTTGACCTTAGATTTTTTGGGGGTAAAGCCATGTTCTAAATGTTAGTGTAAAGTGAGTCAAGCTGCTATAAATGTTTTTATTTTCAATAAAAAATTTCTAACAAAATATTTGTTGAAACAGTATTTATGACTGAAAGTTCTTCTATTCTTGAGAAATTAACAATTTGGTGGTTTAAGAATTCAATTACCAAAGCAGTGTGGGTTTTTTTTTAATGATCTATTTTAGTGAAAGGGTTAAAATTAGCTTCTCATTCTCCTTTATTTGTTCACAATTCTATATCGTAGCTTCAAAATATTTCTGTTAGCATTAGTGTTATTTTCACTTCCGTATACACATAAATGTTGTGTCATTTGCATCTCCTGGCTACCTCTGTATTTTATCTATGGAAATGTATTTAATCACATTGCTTAACATCAGCTTTTTTGTTACTGCAATGAGAATCTATAATAAACTCACACCATAAAATGGGTAGCTTTTTATTTTTGTGTGTTTTGTTTTAGGATCGACCACATTTCGCTTTAAGAAGGGTAACGGATCAACATGATAAATAATTATGTTTCTGGTTATGTTAAATATTTCATTGAGAACAGTTGAAGTTAAACATTCCCTGTTATAATATGTGTTCAAATATTACTGATTTTAATTTAAGAAGCAAGCAAATTTAAAATATTACTGTAACATTAAGTTTGGGTGACCAAAAAAATCAACCATCAATGGCATGCCAGAAAATTGGGACAAAGCAAATAATTATTATTTCTTTAACCCCAACCCCCCCCCCCTCCCCAAATATTTTTGTGATAAGGTTTTGAAGCATACCAACATATTTACAATAATATTGTGAATGAAGTGACCTACTATATTATTATTTATGTTAGTGGTGACTTTAAAGTGACTTCCATTTTTCTGGTGTCTCATTCAGATAGTTATAATTATTTGCTCCAGCCATGCATTGTTGGTCACCAACTTATGTTTATGAATTGGAGGCATTTAACAAGGTTTTTTTATTTTTGCTTCAAGTTATTCGGAATTTTACAACATAACCCTCGTGAGACACCTGGGCCGATCTCCAGTGCGTAATGGCGAAAAAGACAAAAGGCTGATCCATTGGTCCAATAATAAAAGCCTTGAGATTGGCTGGCTGGTCTTTGTACCAGTTAATCAGATTGCTTCTTGCATTTCTTGCTCATCTCACCATTTTAATGGCGGCTTCCATGTATAGCTTATAGTGTTCTGTCATTTTAAATCAAATTTTTTTTTTTACACACTGACTTTTAAAATGCTTAAAAAATAAATGACCTTTAAATATGCCAAAAGGCATAATAAGCCCAACGGGAATATTTTATGCAGTTTTTCACACTGAATCTCATTCAAATATGGGTTAGGACTTATATAGGCTTCAACAATCATTAAATTTAACAAACGTCTGCAAGAAAGGCGTGTTTATTCTAGGTGTAAAAAAAAAAATTCATGCATAATTTATTAAAATCGGGATATCTATTTTGCATAAATGTTGAGGTTTTGGATTGATTCATAAAGATCATAATAGTTCATTCAATTTCCTACTAGAATATATATAGTCTTATATTTGTAAAATGATTATATTATATTTTTAGACTTTTTTTTTGCATAGTAAGTGCAGTGCTTTTGAAAATGGTTCCATCTTCTTGGCACTGACTGTCCGAAAAGGCTCCGTCTCAAGAGGGTTAATTTGTCCATGATTTCCTTCATAGTCAGTGTTTTTAAAGTTTGTGTGTCTTTTTGTTTTGTTATTTGGTGTTTTATTTTTTTGCCTTTTTCGTTAAAAACTTTTGAATCATTCTGTATGAATAGGCAAATAGTATTTTGCCCACATTGAACAGAATAGCTCTTTTTAATGTTAAGCTTAGCTTACCCCTGCAGTTTGATGTTGTTTTTCTTTTGTTGCCTTTTACTTACCATTTTGTTTTGATCTTCAAGGAAGGTGGATTCAGCCAGGTAACCTTTGACAAAATGCCTCAGTTGTGTGCATGGGTGTTTTTACCTTGTGACACTCACATTGTTGACATCAAGATTATATTTTTGATTTTGCTGATAATATGCCATGGTTAAGGTCAATTATTTTGAAATAGCTTTTTGGCAAATGCTAGACTATGTCCTTAATGAACTTTCCTTAAGATTGACTTTAAAAAGCAGCTGTAAAGTTAATTTATGTTTTGTATACATCCTACTTAAATATCAAGCCCATCTTTCAAAGTCTTTACTAACTTGGTCCTGTATGCCTGAGTTTGAATGAACTCAGCTTGACTTTACCCCAGCAATGTAATAAACCAGTGTTTCCCAACCTTTTCTGTGGTCCTCATCCCCTACAAATATTTTTTACTAGTCTCTCACCCCCTAAAAAAGATATTCTAATTCACACACCCTAAAAAAGTAACAATACATATCAGTATTTGAAAAATGGACCTCTAATTTGTTCATTGAATTAACAAAAGAGAGCTTAATGTGGCTGGATAGCTGTGAAGTTTAAACTGAGTCACTTGCAAGCTTGTGGATTGGAGATCAATCCTCAGCAAATGCCTAAACAGTCAAAAACATCACCAACACCCTGGTGATTATGAGACTATTAAAATTCTGACAACTCCTGCGACGCTGCCTGTGTCAAGCGGTATCATCCACACGCGATGTTCCCTTGAGTTATCCAGGTACATGGATAGAGATGATTATCCGTCTAGGGTGCAAGCTAATCCTCCTAAAGAAAAAGCCAGGCCTTGTGGTTGTTTCACTTCTACACCATCATCACATTGTGACGGACGGATGCCAACTATAAAAATAGGGCTTAGAAAATTAAATCCTGACTTACAATATAAACTAATATTTATTAAGAATGTTATTTTAATATACAACCATTTATGTCATACTTAAAAGTCAATGACTAACAAGTTATTAAATCACAGTTCCTCGCAGCCCCTGAACTGCCATCGCGCACCCCATTGGGGTGCTAGACCCCAGGTTGGGAAACCCTGACCTAAGCCATCAGATATTTCTTTCATAAATCTTATTTTAATGATTTCAAAGCATGGAGATTCCCAAATAGTCTGAGATTTCAGTGTTGTTTAGTTGGTAGACATACTTGCACAGTGTATCCATGCATATGCCTATAGATGTACACTCTGTGGGACTAGGGTTTAATTTGGAGAAATATAGTTTTAGATTTTCTTTTCAGCCTAGCACTTGTTGATATTATACTCATTTATACCAAAATTAAATCTTAAACATTTTTTTTTCTATCAATTAACACCATTTTTTTAAAGCAATTTAGTCTAGAGTCTAACATTCTAAGATGAATTATCCACAGAACCCTCTGTAGTGTGTTTAGATCAACTAGCTAGTAAAACAATTTAAGGCTTTTTGGTTTGAGGTTTTATTTTTAAATTAAAATTTACAGCAAAAAATTAGTCTCAAGTTCTCTAGCAGTAAAACTGAGACTACTTAGTTATTGCCCATGATTGATCCAAGATTCACTTTGTTGTCTAGATGTGTTGAACAGCTTTTCTTCTGTCCTTACTCTAGTCATGTCTGCTTCTAACAGTCCTCTCCCTTGTCAAGCTTGGTCACACAAAATCTTGTGCTTTTTAAGAAATGTTGTATCTTGGTACAGTGAACGGCCAGCAATTTCTTTCCAAAGTTATTTTTACTTGTGTCATGGAACTATCTCAAGCCAGTTCCAATGGAGCTTATTATCAAATTATCTGCTCTATTTGAATTTTTTTTTCTTTCAGTCTACCCAATATTTAGCTGAATTATCAGCTCAATATTTAATTGACACGTTTATTATTTTATTAAAGCTTTCTTTAAAATATATATTTTAATTCACTATATAAATAATGCTAGTTTAATCATTAAATTTTATTTATAAAGATAATATCTTATTTTATGTACACTCTTTAACAAATATTTTGCTCATAGAATAAGTGTATATCTGGACAAAGATTTGAAATATAAATAAAATTATATTTTGTGAATAAAATAACACTATTAACAAACCACAGAAAACGTATGTCATTAAAAGTTTAACAAATATTTTGCTCATAAAATAAGTGTATATCTGGACAAAGAATTGAAATATAAATAAAATTATATTTTGTGAATAAAATAACACTATTCCCCCCCCCCCAACACCTCTCTCCTTTAAAGCACCTGGTAATTCCTTTCCTTGCATACTTTTCAATAACTTGAAATAAATATTTCCATTTTTAAGTGTGTGAATTTTAATGTTGTTTTAACTAGGGCTATATCCTATGCTGAATGGTAAATTAATGAGCCACTTGTTTTCATTAGAGTATTCACTATGAAATCAACATGAAAATGAAATAATTTTTGACCCAGAGTGAAGGGCTAACATTCAACAGAAATCAGAATAGTAAAATTCCTGTGAGGTAGAGCCCTTGTTTGAACACTTGCAACATGCACCTTGCCTATTATAAGAATATATATTCATTATGTCTATATGTATATGTACTTAACAAGTTGTGTTTACCAGCATTCACCATCGCAAAGAAACTGTGCATGTTGGATTCATTATAAATATAAAAATGCTCCATATCTATTTTATATTTCTTCCACTTTCATTTTAATTATTGCAATAGGGGTAGTCCAATGTTTCTTGTTTCTTTTTTTTTCTTGGACAACACAAAATATTGACAGTAAACTGGGCATCTAATTATGGAAATATTGATTTTTGTCATACTAGGAATCAGGTGGGATCGCTTGTAGATAACTTTAAGACCGTTCCAGACAGATTGTGGGCTTTCCTGCACATTTTCCCCTTGCTGGGATTTGTTGTGTATTTTTTAGCAAGTAGTACCTTCTTTTAATTAACATAGAAATGTGATCATGTACCGGGTGATTCTAATAAATCCCTGAACTGTCATTCTATCTAAATAGGTTTAAAGATGTACCTAATGTAGTCAACTGATAAGAAGAAAACAAGCTCCATATCAGCTCATAATTGAGTTTGTGCCTAACCTCAACAACAACAAAAAACATTTCCATTTGTGTGGCTATTTTCTGCCAAGTTTGTCTTTGTCCACCTTTTAACCTGTGTATCAATTGGACCTAAATACTTTTCTGAGACCAACTTTCCCCATGCCTTGTGTAGTTTTCTCCCTTTGTTTTTTAATTATTTTTTGCATTCATAAGAACTCCCATGTTTTTCCTACTTGCTATTTTATTAGCTTACAAAAAAATAATGATTTTAAATTAAATAATAAAACCAGCTTCCTATTTGAAATAGGATACAATCAGTTCTGTTTTTCCCCCATCAGTGCTGTTGCATGGGAATAATTTCCGTGCTGTTTCTCTTTAGGTACTGAGGTATTCCCAGTCGGACTGGAATAAAATGAAGCAAGAGATGGAGCTGAATTTCCAGGCCAGTCTGCTGAACAAAGAGAGAGACTGGAGCTTCTTGTTGGGAGAACGTGACAAGAAGATTGCAGCACTGGAGGAAGCCAACCTCAAATTGAAACACACCAATGAGGACATGAGGTTGGTAGCTGTTGATACATTATTTGTAAAGCTGAGAGAATTTTCAAGCATGCTGTTGGGCTTCAAGTTGTTTTATTATTAATTCATTATTTAACTATTAAATTTAATATTTCTGTTTTATTGCTCACCACATTAATTGCGTCTGTGAATGTTTGTAGGCTGAAATATGTGGATTGTGTGCTTGTATTTATACAGAATGTTTAGTAACATTTTAATGTTACAGTCATGTGAACTGGAAATGTGGAATTAAGATAAAATATATCCACACAAGGTGTCGGTCGCTCTGGGCCAAAGTAAAGGGCTCTTTATTTCTTGACCTCTATCCTTTTGTTTATTTCAGAATGGTAGTGGCAGAGTTTGAGAAAACAATATCACAACAGCAAGGTAAATCTGATCATGGCTTTTGGTTATCGTCTAAAAGAATATTTAAATTAAAATTCATTGAATAATCTGTTGTTGATTTGTGTCAGTTGAACAATTTTTACGCTATATGCAGAAAACATCGTCACGCGACGTAATAAATGTCCAATAATATTTCTTTTTAATCAGCTGAGAAAGAAAAAAACAAAACAGATTCCCAGAAAGCACTACAGAATTTGGAAAATGAACGAGACCAGGTAAATTCTAAGATAACCGTTGGAACCAAAGTTTGCCTAAAATAAACTCTACAGATCGCTACTTGATAATAGTTTGAATAAAATATGTCTGGAACTTCTAAAGATTCTGCTCTGTTGTTAGCTGAAAATAAACATAGTCACCGACAGTCTTTTACATTCACACATAATAAATGTACTTTAAAATAAATGTACTTTAAAATTGTCAGGCCATTGAAGATCTCCAGTCTGTTGAGACTGCCTTTTCAGACCTACATCGGCGTTATGAGAAAAGCAAGTCAATCATAGAAGGATTCAAGAGGGTAAGTATTTAACTTCTTTAGTTGGTTTTTTTATTTTTTAAACCCATATCATTTCTCACTGGTGGGCTCCTCTGTTTATTTAATCTAATTAATCTATTAAATAATAATAATACATTTTATTTTGTCAGTGTGAGATCATCTACACGTTTCATATATTCAAAGTGAAATAATATTCCTGCAATAAAGTACACAAATTTGTATCTGGTTTTCTGTAATCTTTTTTCAAGATATTTTTCACATGTTCAAATGTCATAGCTATTTGTCTCCTATTTTCAAATCAATATTGGTCATAATGAAACTTAAACCCATTAGTCCGTTCAGTGTGATATATGGGCAGAGAGTGTGGGCATACTGCAGAACGTCGCCTGTTATATCCTGGGAATTATTCACAGACCAGCAGCCATAATTTATCAGTGGAAATAACTGTGATGGCATTTTATTCATCAATTAAATGTAATTAACCCTAACTTGAAGTGTACATCTAAACAAACAATACAGCATCTGCATGTCATCTGTTAATTTCGATCAAAGTATTTTAAAAGAATTAAATGAAATTTGTTGGCACTGGCACAGGGGTTCTAACCTTTATTGAAGCTCCGCACACACACGCACCCCCACCCCACCCCTGATTTGAAAATATACCCAGCATCCCCATCTCCATTTCAAAACATACTTCCTGCACGCCCGACTGTAAAAGATGCAGATAAAAATGCAAATAAACTGTATTTTCTGGTCCTGATAGGCTTTAAAATTTTAATCTGCATGTGTTGAGTTATTGTAATCTCAATCATACAGACAAAGTAATGATATTTTTATCTAGTTTCTATTGGGAAAGGGGCATCCAAAGTGACATCCTTGATCAAAACCTTCATTTAATATAGGCCGAATGAAGCGTTCAGTTTATGGTTCACTTTAAACCTTTGAATGGCGTGGTCCATGAATGAGTTATTTTCCATCAGTTTTGTTTCTGTCGTGATCATTTATTTCTTCCTGACCATTGTCCTCTACAGAATGAAGAACAGCTGAAACAGTGTGTTGATGATTTACAAAACAAGTTGAAAAAGGCAGAGAGCAAATTACAAGCTCTGAGGTCTCAAGCAGAGGAAAAGTTGGATAAGTAAGCCCAGATACACATGCACAAATTCAATGTTGAAAAAATTTAGGGTTGAATTTTACTTTCAAAACAACATAAGTCTTTCTTAAAAGTAAAATATAATTATTGGTTGTGCTCAAGTTCTCTACAAAATATTAAAAAGCCGTTGAATTTCTCTTGTTGAATATTTCCATTTTCTTCCCCTTTATTACCGCTGCTCGCAACTCATGCTGTTGCCAGTGTTTATTTTTGGAACTGATGTCGGGCACTTGTATGAAACAGAAGCATCCGACCTGGCAGGGATGATGAATGTCGTACTTGTAAACAAGTTCACTCTCTGGTCTCAGTTTCATTCACCTCTCGCCGAGGTCAAGGTGTGAGTTGTGCACACGTGTGTATTGTGCACACGTGTGTATTGTGCACACTTTGTGTACTGTGACGTGCAAAGCCATCTCAAGAATGAAGAATGAGAGCGCCGACAATCATGCCATTAGAACACTCTGCAATTTTATTTCATGATCATATTACTGACATCTAGTTCCCACACGGTAACCACAATTACTATGCCTAAAGAGCAGAAGAAATGTGCAGCTACCAGGCTGCCGAGAGTGAGAGTTGACCTCAATCGTCGTTGTCTTCAACCCTAAATGGACTAATAAATCACTCTTCATCCAACAAAGCCCTGTGTTTAGTGTGCAATGACACCAACATTACTTTCAAACAGTCAAGTCTCAAGGGGCATTTTGATGCCAAATGCTCACATGTACAGAGACCAGTGATCAGCAGAAGACTGAAGCTCTCACCTTAAAGAAATTAACCTGAAGCCGCAAGGACATGACATGCTCATCCCAAACATGGAAGCTGAGGTGGGGGCATTCGAAGCAGAGCTGATTGTATGGGGAGGAACAGCTTCATAAGGGTGACTGTTCATTTCCCTCACCTCCCCCAGTGTGATGCAGCCCTCGTTGACACAAGAATGCATCAGTGTGCTTAACCCTGTGGAATGAATTCTCTTTGCGCTTCACTGATGTGCGTTGTCATTTGCGAGAGGAGAGTTCAAGATCGTCAGCACTCCTTTTGACTTTCCTTATGACGACACCTCCTTTGATGTGCAATTGAAGTTGATTGAGCTGGAGGCTTTGGATGTTCTTGTGTCCAAGTTAACTTCTTGCACCACTCCCATTGACTTCTACACTCGGCTACCACATCCTCAATTTCCAATGTTGTTAGCCCATGCCAAGCGTGTGATGGCAATGTTTGGCAGCACTTATTTGTGTGAGCAGTTGCTCTCCAGGATGAAGTTTTCTAAGGGCAAGCTGCACTCTCATCTCACTGACGATCACCTAAATGACACTCTGTTGCTGAATGCCTCATCATTAGAGACTGATGTTGTAACTGTGTCTAAGATCATGCAACATCATGTTTTCCATTGATCATACCGTATTTTTGAATAAAACAACCTTTCCTTTACCACCTTGTTTCTTATGGGCTAGTGCGCCCTCTTGACCTCCTGAAACGATATCATATTTTGAAAAGCTTGCAGACTGCTGGTTTACATGTATTATTTTTTTCTTATTTCAGAGCCAATGAAGACATTGAGAAAATCAAGAAATCTACCAAACAGGACATTGTACGTTTGGAAGCTGCACTAAAGAAATCAGAGTTACGCACATCAAATTTAGAGGAAAGTTTGCAAAGAAAAGTTAGTAGTGTTAAATGCTTTTGAAACAATCCTCCATCTCCATTTTTTAATAGAGGATGCTTTGCCTTTTTAAAACCTTTATATTAACTTCGCTTTTGTTTGTTGCTGGCTGGAAAAATCTTTGGATGGCTAATTGACCCACTTTCCATCAACCTATCGAGCTGAAACTTGGCACCTAGGCTCATGGCCGAAGACAACACATTTTTTCAAATTTTAGCCCCACCCCCAGCCCCCAAAAATCAGTTTATCCTGTTTTTCAATGGGAAGGTGAAGGAAATATGATGTCACTTATTTCAATAAAAATAGAATTCCAGACAAATTCAGCTAAATGAGATACTTTTTTTTTTTAAATATCGCAAGTGCATATGGTGCGTAAAATTTTCTCTTTTTTTTTTTTTTTTTTTTTTTTTTTTTTTTTTTTTTTAAATTAATCTGCGGGTGTAAAAGCGGGTGAATCATTAGAATATTAATATAAGTTTGGGGGTTGTACAAAATGTGCTGTTGCGACGGGGGGGGGGGGGGCACTAATGGGGTTCCTTATAAAGTGTGTTACTCCAAGGCATGTGTTGTCAAATTTTCAACCCCAGCCTCCATTGCTCAATATTACATTTTATAAAAATTTATATGACAAAATTTGTTTTTAAAGGTTGTTTAATTTAAGTATATCATGTACTCCAATTTATTTATAGGACTTTTAAAGTATTTCAGTATTATTTATTTAAAAATAAATAATTATTTAATAATATAATATTTTATTTTGAATTAATTAATATGGTAATGATTATTAAAATAACTAATTGAAACTCAAAAAATTAATGAGAGTTAGCATAATGGATTTTATAGGATTTATGTGGAAATTTTTTAATGTGCAAAATCAGCATTTTGACAAATAATTTAGGGATAGCAAAAATGTATTTCTTTTTAATAATTTATTTTAGTAGTCTCATATAAAATATTATTATTTTGAATCTAGGAAAAAGAAAACCAAGAACTAACAGCAATATGTGATGAGTTGATAGCTAAAGTTGGCTCATAGTTTAGGCCATGCTGACATTACATCATTATGAGACAGTTGGTCAGCTCTATTAATGTTATATGCAACTCGGCTGGATGAATGAGATATATAATGATCAGCTGTTCTCAGGTGCTAGAATTATAAACACATCAAAGTGGCTTACATCGCAACTCTTTACACAAACTTGTAAAAACTGCCAGTAGTTGGTTGTGGACGTATTCAAACATTGAATATATTTCATATTCCATGTGGATGTATGGCTGAATGAAGGTGTGCTGCTTAGACTTGGACTGAACCAGAGAATTTCATTCGCTTTGAAAAAATTTGTCCTTATTTATGGACACATTCCAAGATGAAGGACAAGTAATCCAGCGTCTGCAAAAGGAGAAAAGCAATTAATCATCCTTGCCCTTTCGTGTGCTGTTCTGTCCATTTCATCTCTTTTGAAAGTGGACATAAATCTGATTGGTTTTTATCTAGATTTTCAATTTTAAAACACACAAGTTTGCATCTGTCTCTATTGCAAAGGTTTCAGTTTTAAAAATAGAATAAAGAAAATCAAGGCACCAAATATTTCTAGTCAGTATATCTTTTACAAATAAAGTTGGGTAACAGCACAAATAATAATTTATTAGAAGCATACCGGTCTTCCTCAATTTTCACTTAATTGTGTGATAAAAAATGAACATTTTCATTTTGCTTTCAATTTTTTTGCAATTAGAAATAAAATTTATGTGATAATATCCTGAAAATTAAAAACTACATCTTTTATTTATTTTTTCCTATTTGTGATTTTTTTCTCTGATTTTTCTATTCACCAGTCTAATGTTGAAAAATGTAATTTAGTTCCTGGTAATGATCATTTGTATAGAAGATTGTAAATATTATCAATATTACATTTCTTAATCCCCCCTCATACTAAAATTATCACCATGTTGACAGTAAAATAGGGAAACTTCACATACATAATTTTATTTAAGCTTCTGGCTTTTTTTTTTTCAAATGTACGTCTAGCTTTTGAATAATTAATCCTTCATTGCCTTCATGCAATGTGTAATGCCTTTCTCAAAGTAAAATAAAAAAATGTTTGCAAGAGAATGAAAGTGTTGATTGATAGCTAGCAACAGAATTTTGCATTTCTGTGATGTCTGTTACAGTTTTGATCCTTTCTTGTGCTTATCCTGGCTGTGTTATATGTAAAGAAGTAAAAATCTCATGTATTTAAACTGGCTCTTTCAAACTATAAATGTCATTTTATATATCTCTGTTTAAACCTTCTTGGTTCTTGTATCTTTCAACAAAGAAAGCTTAGGCAAGGCAATATGAATAGACAAAAAAGTAAATTTGAATGAATGTATGATAGTAGGTTGCTTATCAGTGCTATGTCAATGATTCATTTTTAAATTTTGAATAGTTTACTATTTTCAGAAAGTGCTTTGAATGTTTTATCTTGCTTGAGAATAAATGAGTGTAAGTGACTCTTGTAATGTATAAGACTTAAAGGGAGCAGAACATTGCCCTATTGATTTCACTCACAAAATTTGTTTTAATACCGTAACAGATACATTCAGAAGTGAAGATTTTTTTTTATTGCAGTCTACAGTGAGATTCTTTGGTATCCCATGAAACTACCAAATGTATTCCTAATTTTGACTGATCTTTTGATGAATGATTACTTTCTCTATACTAGACCCAATCTGTGACCCTTAAAAAAACTAAAGAGATAACTAATGAAATTTACAAGTCTGGAACACATCCGTAATTTTAAAATTAAATAAATCACTGTTTACTGTATGAGAAGAAATTCTATTTTTAATCTATGTCTATACTAAAAAAATTATTAGTACTGCAATAAAGAGAACTTGGAGTGAAATAAATTTTTAATTGTTTTAACCACAATGAAATCTCTTCTTATGTTTTCAATTCAACTGAATTTCTAACCATTTCACTCATGTATTTCTAATTCCAGATAATTTTAGAATAAAACAGTTAAAGGATTAACCTAGTGCCTTATTTAATTTGATTAATACATGGTACAACAGTGAGTTAAAAAAAAAACTTACTTATTTAGTTTTGTAGTAAAATATGTTATCTCAATATATTGCATTTTTTAATAAGTTAAATGAATTTTTAGAATTACTTTCCTAACTGCAAGTTTTAAAGAGACCAATCTAAGCTACTAATAACGAATCTCACTAAAGAAAAATGTGCCATTCAGTAGATGTTTACCATATACAATACCTATAGTATTGCTGTAGGAAATAATTTTAACTACATGTCTACACACACACCTATTTTTAATCAATCAATAAATGATGTATATTGAGCCACCATGTCTATAGTACTCCAATCGTGCTATAGATCAGAGAGCTCCGCAACCAATGTGCTGCGGCACACTTGTGTGCCATGAGACAATGATAGGTGTACCCTGGAAATATTCCTCCAATAGGATGAAAAACATGTTCAAACATAAATTTGTTGAAACAAGAGGGTCCTTGGTTGACTAAATAACAAGCTGTCAAATAGCAAACCTCTGCATGGTTAAGTTTAGCGGGTCACATGACAAGTCATCATCCCAATCAGTGGGGTAGCTAGGGTTAGTGCTGCCCAAGGCCAAAGATGCTTTTTTAACATAAAGAAAAAAATTTGCCCCCCCCCCCTTACTTCCCCTTTGCACACTCCTTCTTATGACACTGATCCTAATGTGTCTGAAGCGACTGTTCAAATATGTCCCTTTCGCTCAAATTGACCTTTGATTCCACACTTTTCAAGCCTTTACTGTTTAATATTTTGATTGTCGGTCATTAATTAATTATGTTTTTTACATTACAAGTTTAAACATTTCATCACCAATAAATTTAAAAAAACTAAGCTCCCTTCCACACACATCACATCCTGTGAAGACAGACTGTACTGAAGTTTTTACATTTTATTTCTTGGTTCTGTCTCAGACACACTGTTGATCATGCCACAAAATTTGTTTTCAATACAGCTTTTGTTTTATTACTTTAGTGTGGCTTATTTTGTTTTTTTAGCATTGAAATGATTATGGCAATCTTACTATTCTTGCACATGAATTTCATGAGTACTTAAGTTTGTGGTCACTGCTTTTCTTGTGCCAACAAGGATAACGAATATTTTCAGCTAATATTAAGTCAAAAATCTTTTAAGCAAAGGCCAAAAATTAGATTGTCCCTGAATAATAAATTATTAGCACTCCAGAAAAAAACACATGCCATTGATGAAACCCTTATGAAACCAGAATGTAAGGAAATCATTTAAATGATGCTTTGGTTTAATAATGCTAAGGAAGTAGAAAACACTTTCACTATCAGCTGATAATATTTAAAGAAGTATTGATGATATGTCCAGTGATATTTTTTCGGTCGTGCTCAGTACCGCTTCTGCAGATTGTTTTGTCAGTGATATTTTGGAAACAGAAAATTGGACATGGCGCAACAACATCTAACATTGCAACATCTAATATTCCCACATCTCAAATTGGCATAACAACATGTAACATTGCCACAACATCTAACATTGCTGCAGAAACAAGTTGGCCCAAACTTTTGTACAGTAAATACAGAGCAATACAACTGGGTCCGAAACACTTTTGCTTTATATGTCCAACATTCTACAGAAGTACAAGTACAATCCCTCTAGGTCCAAGTCGAATTGAAGAATGGCATTTATTCAAATTTACGGAAGTTCCATTGAATGTCTTCTGGGTTTTAGTAAAGGGAGCATGTCCTAGACTTACCAACGAGGCTATTGCAGTTCTGCTGCGTTTTTCAACCACTTGTATATGTATATGTGAACAAAGTTTTTCTACTTGTTTTACTAAAAAAAATGATAGTGTACTTCGAGTTTCTCTACATTTTGCCAAATATAAAACAATTATTTTCAGCAAAACAGGCTCAAACTTATTAGTTTTGTGAAAATTAAATCTTTTAATTTGTGCATGCATTTCTTAAATTTTTTTCCTATGTTTTTTTATAGTGATATTTGCATATTAAATATGGAAAAACAGTTTCATGTTACTTGGTCATTGGTATAAATTATCTATTGACTCATTTTAAAGAACACATTTAAAAGTAAGTTTGCAAGTGTAAAAAGAGTAAATCAGATGTGTTTTTTAAAATCATATTTTAATTGTGGTGGATCTGGGTGTGCTGGAGTGAAAAAAAAAGGTTGTGGAGCACTGCTATAGATGATTTCTTTGTACTTCTGTCATTTTTACCATACAATAAATTTATCCTGTGGCACACCCCCCCCCCCCAAAACACATTTTATCATAGCTTTAATAAGTTTGTGAGTGTTCCATTAATGAGCATTGTATTTATGTTTAACTTGTGTATCTCATTTTTAAATGTTGTAGGTGACAGATATTTATAATGCACTCCAATGAGAGAAACATATCACAGCTGACAAAAACTGAACACATTCTTAATTAAACATATTTCTGCACATGATTTATGGTTGGCTTCCTACTAGTTTTATTTTTCTAAGCTGCTGAGAATTTTCTGCATCTCTTTGCATTTGATTTTATTTTTTTTTTAAAGAGACTTTTGCTTTTGAAAGCTGATTTTCCATGCTAGTACCATTATTAGAAGTATTGAATTCATTGAAGCCACTGTCAGCTCTTTTATTCAACCAGCACCTCTGATACTGAGGCTGGTAGTTCATTGAGCTGTCTATAAATGCTCATTGATTAGAATTGTGTTTAATGACAGGTCATGTCATGTTGACATGAATGAGTTTTGATAATTTCTTACTTGACATCATGTCTATTAATTTCTAAAGTCACTCAATGGATTGGTAATAAAACAAATTTGAAATGATAATGATACACTTTTAATTCATGCATCCAGAAGTGGAAGTCAAGGACATTTCTGTGCAAATGTTTTGTAGTTGTTTGATTATGTATGACTTTTCTTGTGACACTCATTCAAGGTATTTTTTAGTCTAAAATTTTTAAGGAAAAAAATTTAGGTAACTTACAAAGTGAAAAATATAGAAAGTTTTGTAAGAGAACCTTTTTATTATTAACATATCTTGTGAACTGGATTGATTTCTACCTTCTCAAATGATACAAATGTTTGATATGCCAGAATTATATTTTGTCTTTAAACATACCGATCAGTAGAGAAAATACACAAATTAGCATTAAAATGTGGACAATCAACTTCTTATAAATTATAATGAAGGAAGGTAAAGAAGACAAACGTATTTTCTTTAAACAGTAATGTGCATGGCCAGCAAAGTACTTCTTATCCAAAGTTAACCTTAAGTATCAGTGATACTGAGGCATATGTAATTATAAGCTGAGTTTTAGCTAAAACTAAAAGGAACCCTTTTTGAATAGGTGTGTCTTTAAACTATGTTTTCAAGCAAGTGCAGGAAAAAAAACAAAGATGACATCTTGGAGCAGAATCTAACTCACTTGCAATCAATTTAGAGAAATAAGTTAATGAAAATGAACAACTAAAAAAAAAAAATTTAGACCTTGAGTTTTCAAGTTGGCCGATGTTATTAAAAAAATTTTATTTTTTTTTAAAACAGCTTAAAAAAGACTTCCTTTTAAAGATGAGTTAAAACGCACTAAAAATTAGAAAACAATTTAAAATTTCGTAAAATACATTACGCAAAGAAAGACTGCAAGGATTCAAACTGAATGTAGACAAAACTTACATGTTTTATTTTTATTAATTTTTAAAAATATTTACTGCACATCAGACTTTTTTTTGTGTGTAAAGCATTTTAAGAAATTTTAAATTATATTATTTTCAATGCATTTTATCTCACCTTCCATAGTCTTTTTTTAAAGTTTTTAAAATTATTTTTGTATTTTCTACTTTTCAGTGTTAAAATTGTAATTTTTAAATTATCAACAAAAGGAGAATTATTTTCTTTTTAAAAATATTGAATGCTTACACAATCGCGGTGAGAGTGACTTAACTTTTTACCTAGGCATAAAACTAAAAAGTAGATCTGAGCTCACCCACCACCCGTTCACTCAGAGAAGCAGACGAGATCAAACACAGTAATTTTAGTGAGTGACAATCCCCCTCTGTCGACCTAGTATTCTTTTCCACCCGTTCACCTGGTGAACACTGCACAAGTAAGACTTGTAAAATGTCATGTGTAAAAAAAAAAATTACACTCCACACACAAAAAGGAAATGCAAGTAGAGAGAAAGTCTTTAAAAGGGTTAAACAGCACTGCCTTTTGAGAAATAGATGCTATGTAAGTATAATCCAGGGACTCTGGTATTGTCTACCTAATCGTGCGACATAACTCAAGAAGTTGACTACAGACAAATATCAAGATAAGTTGCAATGATGAAATAAAAAGTGTAGATTCTGAACAAAAAAAAGTTTACTACTATTACTATATTGGTTTATTGAATTAATAAATTTGATGTGCAAAAAGTGAACAATTATTTCACCTTAAACTTTAATTTATGATCACTTAAGTAATAAGTTTTATTTTAAAACATATTCCATGGGATAACAGGTGCTGTCCACATACAATGTTTACAATGTAAATAAAAGATATTTGCCCAAGGTCGTGCAGTTTAATTGAAGCATATTATTAAACATTTTTCAAAGAAATTTAACAAGCCAGAGTACTATAAATAATTCCAATAATTACTGAATCATTCATAATGTAATTCAATATTAAGCCTGAAAGAAAGGAAAATATATTTGAAAGAACCTGTACATTATTTAATTTAACATTAATCCAAAATGTTTAAAGGTACCAATGAATACAATTAGAAGCTAGGAAATTGGGTGGGCGTTGCTGGACAGTGAGTAAAATGTATTTTTCTCTAACAAGGAATGCGTTTCTGACATTAATCTCACTCAGTTCTCCAGGGCAACATAATCTTTTTTTAAACAAATATAGAAATTCACTAAGTTAAAAAAAAACAACAGACTTTCAGTTTATTGTTACAAGAAAAATTACTTCAATTAGTTAACAAATGTGAGCTTTTTTAAATTCTAATGACGTCTTAGGTGTGTGCAAGGCAGGATTAATTAGTAAGGCACAATATGCTAACACAGGCCACAGTGAACTAAGAAATATTTCTTGAAAAATCTAGATTCACTAAACAAAAAGGACTTTTCTCCAAAGTTCTTAACCTGAACTACTGTGAAAAGGGCACACATCATGTTGGTGTAATGAAATGTATTTTCTACCAGTCAAAATAGCTGAATAAATCCTAAAAATTTATTTTGAATTTGAAAAAGCTCCAGTTTTGACTCTGGAGAATGGCCCCAAATATTTAAAATGCAAAAAGCACTGGATTTTTCCACTAGGCTAATTGAGACCATGGATATAAGACTGAAATCAAGGTTAAATATAACAAAAATTTTAACTTAAACTACAAATAAAATCTATTGTTAAAATGCATTGAAACAAAACTGTTGATTCCTTAATAGCAGCTTCTTTGCATTTTCACACATAGTAATTTTAGAATATTAACATAGGAATGGATGTAAAAGTTATAAGAATCTATATGCAAAAGGTAAAACTTTTTTCTCCACTTTCTTTCTTTCTAACATTCCACCATCTGGGTTTTCGGACTGCAAGGTAGATGCTTGACCCTTGGAAAATTGTGTACATTTTTTAGGGGCATTTTCATCTTTGTCTCTATGGCTTTGACCATCTCTATCTTCTGCTGCTGAATATCCAGAACCTTTCTCAACAAATTTACCTCCCCTTCCTTGGGCAGTTCTGGGATCTAATTGCAATACTGCCTTCTGGCTTCTTCCTGCCCTTGTCTGGCGGGGACTCTGACTAATACTTTTCCTTGTCGTGGATTTTTTGATTGGTTGATTCACAGTTAAATTAATATTACCTTCCTGTAAATGAGATGAAACTGGTGAGCTCTTTCTCCTTCCTCTGGCAGAGTTTGAAATTGCAGCAGAACAATGTGGTTTTTTTCCTGCTACTGTGGATTCCCCCATTTCAAGTGATCTTTTTCTTTTGCAATCACCCTTAGTTCCTACCTTTACATTTATCATTTGGTTGCCAGATGATTGTCCACCATTATCAGAATCTTCCTCATCATCTATTTCTATTATGCAATTTCTTTGAATTTGATTACTGTCCTGAACTATCACAGATTGAACAGTTGGAGGTTGACCAACTTTTTTCCCCACAACTATTTTGGTGACAGTTACTTCCCTTGCCTTATCTCTAGGTTTTTTCTGGTATTTGCTGGTGATCTTAGAAACAGCTTGAGACATGTTTCCTTTAGGATGCACACCTGATTGTTCTTCTTGAACTGTTTCTCTTATAGCTTGCTCTCTTTCATTCATTTGATTTGAATCATTTTTTGGTTTAGATTTTACATTATTTTGGTTACTTTTTATGTTTTTAAGGATTACTGGCTTAGAAGGAAACACAATGATTTCATTGCCGGCAAATTGTTGCATATCAATTTTTGTTTTCTTTGCATTGCCTTTTTTTGGTAAATGTAATTGTTCATTGCGGTGTGAAGGGCTGATGACATGCATTCTGTTGCATGATAAACCACCACTGTCAGATTTCTTTTTTATATTTTGTGTTTTTGGTCTATGTTCTTTGTTATCACTTGGGCACTTAACAGCAGGCGGAATCAGATTCTTCTTTCTCGGACGACCTCTTTTTTGAAATTTCCCTTCCTCATAAGTTGTGTCTTGTTGCGTTCTGGTTGGTGGAAAAACAATTATTTCCTCAACCGTGGATTTCCTGGGTTGACTTTTTAATCTTTGGGAAGTTTTGGCATTAGAGCTGACTTCATGAACTGCTTCATTTGATGGACCTGCATAACATACATTTTTTGTTGGAAATCTAAATTTAACATGTTGTTTCCTTCCATTTGCAACATCCATCACCCTAGAGTCATCACCTAAATTTTGTGTTACATTCCTAAGCGTAGGTACACAGTTGGTCTCTACAGACTTATCCATTATATTTTCAAGTAATTGCTCCTCTGGTATAGTTTTTTTAAGAGTTGATTTGGGAATCTTAACACTCTGGCTGGGAAGATTTTCGGATCCTGAAAAGTAAAAATAAAATATGATAATAGAGCATTTACTTGGTCTTTACTTACACTACTCATACTATAGTATACAACTCAACACACTACAGTTCTCTCAGCTGCATAGTAAAAAAAAACTCGTCACTACAAGTCTCTCAGGTGTACAGTATACAACTCATCAGCTGTTTAAAACCAACTAAACTCCAGCAAGTGATAGATTAAAATCCTAAATATTTGAAAGCAACTCATTTTAAAATATTGAAAGCAGGTGCTGGTTCTATTTGTTTCACATGTTCCAAAATATAAATTTGATCAGTCTGTCAATTAGCAGAGTGACAAGTTTGCTCTGTATGCGTGTAAATGTCATGTGACTTCATGGTGCCTTTAAATTATCAACAAAAGTAGAATTATTTTCTTTTTTAAATATTGAATGCTTACAAAAATACAAGTCACATGGACCTGTTATCTGATTATGTTTGCGTCCTGGTTTTCTACAGGTCACACACCTTTATCTTGACCGAAATATCATTTGAAAACTTGAACAACACGAGTGCATCAAGTTTTTTGTGACATGCTTTTCTCTCATAAATCTCTTCAACTTGACCAATAAGAAATTAATACAACACATTTTTTTGGGTCGACAATTGGATCCATTGAGACAGAAAGAGGAGTGGATCTGATCTAGGTGAAACACTTGGGATTAACTTTGATTCATTTCAGGTGATAGAAAACTATATACATTGAATTGTACTCAATATGTGCAGCATGTCAGGAAACTTGGTTTTTTTCCTTCTCTTATCCATTATTTATTACATATTAAAACCACTTACTAATAATAACTTTCGTGGGTGGTTCGTAATCCTGATCTGAGTTGTGATCACTGTCATCTAAGACTGGCATATTTAACACCAAGTTATCTGAAAGATTGGTAAACTGATCATGAATTTATCTGAAATATTTATATACCGAACATGAAGTTATCTGAATTAAATAAAGTGTTGTTTTTTTAAACTCTGAGACACAAAAAAGTATTATTGAAATATTTATTAGAGTTTTTTTTTTTTTAATTTAACTGTCTGAACCGATGATTACCATGCTTTAATGCAAATCCTATAGATGAAATGGCTTAGAATATGGAAGATAATTATTGCAGCATAATAAAGACAACAAAATTTGTATCACAACAGCATTTGTGGATTTAGCCTTTGACCACACATTAAAAAAACTGGTATCTCTTCACTAAGCCAACCTAATGCATTTGTTTTATGCAGCAATTATGACATTAGGTACCATTACTAAGTTTATTACAGAATTAATTACAATAAAATGCTTCATTTTTACGATGTTCAAATGTATGCTGCTATTTTTAGTTCAAATATGTGCTGCTATTTTCATTTTATTTCAACATTGCACTGACTTAAGCTATGAAAGCAATATATCAAACAAAAACATATACGGTAAATTATCTATAATAAGGTAAGAGTTTTTTAAAATTTCTTTGTATGTTGCTGTATTCTGAAACATTCTGAACTGTCTCTTTTACTATAAAAAAAATTGGGGGTCGGCTTATGAACCAACGGGATTTATAACAAGTATCAGAGGTATTCAAGAAATGGGAGTAGAGTAAATAAGAAAAATGTTACAAGTCTTAAAATAAGAAAGAATTTTGTGCCATACAATTAATAAAGCTATTCTGCATAAATTAAATTTAGCATTACCATCATCAAAATCTGCTTCAGTTCTGACAGTAGCTTCTTGATTAGCTTGTTTGTCAGGAGATGTAGAATTAGTTCTTTTCTTGGGTGAGGTGGAGCCGACTCTTTTCTTGGGAGAGGTAGGACTGATAATCACAACATTGTGAGTACTTTTAGAAGATGTTGCCGTCATCTGGTTGTAAGCTTGTAGCTTGAGTTTATGTCTTCTGTTCACACTGCTGTCTGGCTAACATTAAGGGATTTTAAATATGAGAATATGCAGCTGCAACATTTAAATGTCTTTAGAAATAAATTCAGTGTATTTCCTATCCTTCCATTACAAAAATTGCAATCCTCATTTTACAACATGTTCATATAAAAATTAAATAACTTAATCTTAGCATTCATTAAACTGCACACTAAAGAGTAGAATGATTCTGATGTGATAAATTACAATGAAACAATTACATTTTAAATGCATATTTTCTTAGAGCATTTCTTTTTCAAAACTAACAATTATATAAATACTGATAATAAGAGTGAATTACTCAATACTAAATAGATAACTTACCACTACTTCTTCTGAGCCTGTTTCTTTTTCCACTGATTTTTGCTACAAGAATATAATTAAGTTTACAAACTTAAGATCAAAAACATGAATTCTAGGATTATTTTTTATTTTAAATGTTGATAAAATCAAAAGGCACAAACTTTTTTGTGTAGATATGAAATATGAATTGGCTTGTGTATGCCAAACATGCTAAATAGAAATAGCCTTGAAGGAAGATAATAACAAAACAATATGTAAAATCCAAATTTTTTTGCATTCTAAAATTAACTTACACTTTTTAAGATTGATGCAATTTTTTCATTATAAGTCTGCAGCAGTCTAAGAAATAAGAATACATATTTACTTATGATGAAATGGATCTTAAAATAAAAATGTATCTAAATTTATGTATATAATGTACAGCTAGAAACTTTTCCATAATCTTAGTTTTGTTTAAAAAAACAAGAATTGCGTAAAAATAAACTAAATTTTTCATGAATCTAAGGACAAAAATAAGAGAAATACAGGAAGGACTGCATTCAGATTGAAGCAGTAAGATATATACACAATGTAGAGAAAAACCACAAAGAAAGACAATACAAAAATGTGGACATTTCAGGTATAAAGCCTTCAACAGCTAAAGTACAGAGACAGAAAAACTTAGCTAATATATATACTAGAAAATATAACCCTGTGCTTACAGGGTTTTAAAGGAAGGCTCATTGCGCTATTTTCTACATGATGTTGCAAACTCCATTTTCAACTTATTCTGTTTTGCATGGTATGCCCCAAACAAAAAATGATGGCAATTTGCCAACACGATGTTTGGGAAATAGAAAATCAGATTTTCCTTATTTTTAAAGAATTATATAGGTATAGATGTTTAGGCTTCTAACATCATTGGATTTTGAGAAATGTTTATCTTCTATATAATATAGCCCTTCACAACCATTTTACATGCCCCTGAGCAACAAAAAAAACATATTTTCTAAAAATAGTAAAATCATGTCCATACATTTTTAAAAATCTATGCAATATTTTAAATAACATTAACAGATGTTGATATATTGATATCTTCATTAAAAATTCACCCAAACTTTTTCCTCGCTCCTGAACTACAATATCAGAAAATTGTAAAGAGCTTTGTTTTTTTTAAAGAAATATCAAACTCATAAAAATTTTCCGTGAACAGTATTTTGCACAAAGTGAAAAAAAAATGTTTTCTTATTTCACAGAAAATCTTAACCCATCATTGTTCATGTCCCTGAATTGTATTTTCAGGAAGCAGTATCTTTGTAAAAATTGAAACAAAATCTTCATGTTCTTAGTTATGAAGAAAATCTTATCCACTAAATGTGCCCACAATTTGTAAACACCACTGAACTGTACGACATTGGTAATGCACATTCTTATTTATTTCAAATTAAAAATATAAACCATTTCTTTTTCACGACTGTAATATAATTTATTGGATTAAAAATACAAACCGTCTTTCCTCTCCCTGTGTTTTCTAAAGAAGGTTAAATACATTATTTTATTACTTCTACAGTTATAAAATATGTATATACATTTCCCTCTATTGATGAGTCTTACATTTCTTTTAATTTTGCACACCCCTAAACTATATTAAAATTCTAGTGTCACAACCCCCTTTACCATGTAATGTATAGATTTTCATTTTAAAAAAGTAGTTTAACATGTATTTCCAATTGAGTATTATTGTTAAAGTAAAATAAAATCTGTAACATGATCAGGTTTGGACATTTTGGTATAAATATAGAAACCACCCCAAACAAACCAAATTTTCTTAGCCTTTGAAATTTAAAAACTTAAAGTTGTTAAATGCATAGTTCAAAAATTTATTTTAAATTATGTATATACCAATTTTCTTGCAATTTTGAAAACTATCAATGGATCAGCATTTTCTTATTTTGCCTATTTTTTAATGTCAAGGTCCAATTTTTTCCTTTATATACTTAGCAAATTGCTAATTTTTTGGAGTGAAAAAGTACTACTTGTTAAATGGTAACCATACAAAGCTTAAATTTTGGGGGGGGTGTTTTAAAACAATAGTTAGTAATTTTAATAGGTTCTTATAAGATTGTTTTTAATTTTGGTTCATTGAGCTCAAGCAAAATTGTTTAATTCATATTGTTTGGAGATATTAGAGCCAATTAATTTCAAAATTTTGACAACACAATTTTAAATAATCTGATTTTCAGTATTTCCCTGTTTGCTTACAAATTTACAGTAAAAAATAGTTCGGTGCTGTCCAACCTGAGGCCTGAAGGCCACATGCTGCCCACCAACTCATTTTATTTGGCCCACTAGAGCTTGAGAAAATTGTTTGGTGCAGTAAAAGGGAATTTTTATACTGAACTCTGTGACATGAGCTTATTCTTATTAGCTGTGACATATGGTGACATGAGCTTATTCTTATTAGCTGTGACATATGGTGACATTAGCTTATTCTTATTAGCTGTGACATATGGTGACATGAGCTTATTCTTATTAGCTGTGACATATGGTGACATTAGCTTATTCTTATTAGCTGTGACATATGGTGACATTAGCTTATTCTTATTAGCTGTGACATATGGTGACATTAGCTTATTCTTATTAGCTGTGACATATGGTGACATGAGCTTATTCTTATTAGCTGTGACATATGGTGACATTAGCTTATTCTTATTAGCTGTGACATATGGTGACATTAGCTTATTCTTATTAGCTGTGACATATGGTGACATTAGCTTATTCTTATTAGCTGTGACATATGGTGACATGAGCTTATTCTTATTAGCTGTGACATATGGTGACATTAGCTTATTCTTATTAGCTGTGACATATGGTGACATTAGCTTATTCTTATTAGCTGTGACATATGGTGACATTAGCTTATTCTTATTAGCTGTGACATATGGTGACATTAGCTTATTCTTATTAGCTGTGACATATGGTGACATTAGCTTATTCTTATTAGCTGTGACATATGGTGACATTAGCTTATTCTTATTAGCTGTGACATATGGTGACATTAGCTTATTCTTATTAGCTGTGACATATGGTGACATTAGCTTATTCTTATTAGCTGTGACATATGGTGACATGAGCTTATTCTTATTAACTGTGACATATGGTGACATGAGCTTATTCTTATTAGCTGTGACATATGGTGACATTAGCTTATTCTTATTAGCTGTGACATATGGTGACATTAGCTTATTCTTATATATATTTAATTGACAGGAAATGGTAGGCCTATTCATACTTCATGTATGTTGAAAATGTTTCGATTAAACTATAGGGGATTGTGGCAACTGGAAAACTTATGGGTGTTAATAATAACATATCAACTTACATTTAACAGATTATTTGTGTTCTGGCACGTGAGTTGCATTGCATTTGTGAGAATTTGCAGTAAAGCAATTTAAGTCAAAATGATATAGGAGAAACTGTTTTGATTAGATTCTGATCGCTGAAGTATTTAGCTATCCCTAATTTTACTTTTCAATGTGTGCCAGCAGAAAAACTTGACATAATTATTTTTAGCAGGTTAATAAGACCATTCACACTTTACATAATTTCTTACACTCCTAGGTCTTCCATCAGTTCTCCATGCATCACATCTAGAGACTTTTCAGGTTTTGAGGAATTAGGTCCGGCTAGTCCTATTTTTAGCTGCTGGTATTGATTTTGAAGATATGATATTTTCTGGAAAATAAATTAAAAATCACTTTATTTACAAGCCATCAATCTAAAGATTGTCTTTAATTGATTTATTTACAAGCTATCAATGTAATCTTTGTCTTTTATTGATTTCTTTACAAGCCATCAATGTAAAGATTGTCTTTTATTGAGTTACATTTATTCAAAGACCTTGAGCTCCAGATTATTAAAAACCAGTAAGTTCGGACTTGTATTCATATGTCATTTAGTGTTTCATCTATTGTGGATAAAAAAAAATAATCTTGAACAATGAAATCTAAAATCTCAAGTTCATTCTAATTGTTTATAAATAACATCCGGATTCTGATATTTTAACCCCAGACAAAAATGTTTAATAAGTTACTGACCCTGTATTAAGCAAAATAAATGAAAATGTTCATTAATATTCTTAAACTCTTAAAGTTGTTGCTTTTGCTATTTAGATCTTTCCTAAAATTTTCTTTTCCAGGAATAGGTGAGATGACTACTATATTAAATAAAATTGGGTATGCTTTTTTCTTACTAATTTTGGCAGACTGACTAGAAGATGTTTTTTTGTAAAAACAGATTAAAGTAGTATAATTAACTGAAAATTTAGGGTCAACCTGGTAGTAAATATGTTAAATACATATCCTGATGTATGTAATAATGTTAAATACATGTACTGATGTATGTAATAAAGTAATAAGAGAAATAAGTATTGCGATACACTAATGAACATTTTAGGTAAACTCACCTCCATAGATTCATAATTAAACAATTGGTAGATTGAGCTTTTTTCTTCTTTCATGTCATCAGCTATGTCTACTTCTTTGTCATCTGATTCTTGTTTGTTTGCAAAGTGGCTTATCTTAAGGATTGAGATTATAATCAGAATGTTAAAAAGGTAAAACAAAACATCCCCAAGCAAGTGATTCAAGTGAGCAAGGATAGTCAAACCTTACCAGTTCAGATTAAAGGGGAAACTGTCAATAATTAGCCTGATACCTCCACTCCACCACTCTCTAAAGAAGAGTTAAAGGAACTCTCCACGCTACATAGCAGGAAAGATCATCATCAAAAGGAAATATCATCATCAATCCAGCTGACAAAGGTGGAGCAGCCATTGTGTATGACAAGAATCTATTACATTAAAGAAGCACAGGCAACTAAAAGACAGCCAGTTGTACCAACCAAGGACTAGCAACATTATAACTAAAAATAATGACATTCTAAAAGAGACCAGCAAAAAATTGATAGCACAATCTGCACTGCACTCCCTAAATTATTATTTAATTATTCTTTTGCTGTTTGTTCACTGAAGAAGGCTTCTTACATTGTTTTTTTTTTTACATCCTTTTTTTTTAGTTTTTCCATACTTTGTTTCACTTATTTCCTCTGCCTAACCTAATTGCAGTCTCTCCCCCTTATGATCAAGTTTAAAATAGTCTGGCATTTTTTTTTTAAATTTTAACACCATTCTCTTTTACAACTGTATACTTATTCATAAGCCCATTCCTTTATAAGCCAAGTCAATTAATTTTGGCAGGGTAAAGCCTGAAAATTGTGCAATCTCACACTGACACCCCTCATGAGCCGGCCCCATAAAATAATACACCCATAGCAGCAATTTTATACTAAAAAAACAATTTTCTTAGATCAAATTTTTTAAAAAATAATAATTGTTTAAGTAAAAAGACTTAAAAACAAATTAAAATGCATTATTGTGTATAACACAGATATATATGGTAAGCATTCTGAACATTTCCAAAAATAGCTGATGTCATACACAGGCGTATTCACTTCTAAAAATATCAATTAAAAAGTTTGCTTATGTGCAGATCTCATTATATGGGCATTTAATATAGATCAGAAGCTGATACCAAATCTAACCATTCTAAAGAAACATTTCAACTGCTACTATGATCTTATGAAATATGACAATCAGACCTGCTTAAATGGACAAGTTCAGAATGAGACATGAAGACCAGCCTTATGTGTGTTGTAACTGAATTTTGCAAACTGCCAATTTTGTACTCAGCTTTATATTGACTTCCGTTAATTACTTTCTTCTACATTTTTTTTTCTATAATACAATCAATGTAACTAGAGAAAATCATAGAAATCTCCTATGACATGATCATAAGCCATTTATTCTCCTTGAAATATTTTTAGTTTAAAAGCTTATGAATGAGTATATATAGTCATATTTTCAAAAAAGAAAACCATTACTCACAGCTTAAGATTTTAATAGACTTACTTCATCAGGGGTGTAGCAAAAATGGAAGGCCTGTTCCTGCAACAATCTATTAAAAATATATACAACATCAAGATGATTTTGCTGAGCAGCCTGTTCTTGAAAGTAAACTATGTCAGTCCACTGAGATGGAGTGATACGAATCTGAAACATTTAACTTAAGCGGTAAGGAGATGTGAGGCAAATAAGATGTAAAAATAGTGTATTTTTTTAGAGGGTGGGCCCCCCCCCCCCCCCAACTTCCTGCACCCAAGACTGACACCTGTATAATCTTGTTAGTAGTGTACTGTCATAATGCAGAGATGCATAAACAGGAGGGAAAGAAAATAGTTGCTTCCAAAAATTTATATGGGAAATGATTGGTAATTAAAAAAAAAAAATTTGGCTTCGCTGAAGATTTAACTCTAATCAAAAATTATAAAATTTACACAATTTTGATAGTACAGCCAAATCAGGGATATGATATTTTTTTTAATAAGAACTACAATTACAATTATAGGCCAACTAAAATTCATTTTTTAAAACTATTTCTGGATTTGATAATTTGATTTCCTGAAAAATGTTAAGTATTTTTAGCTATTAGTGAAATAGTAAACTTTTGTTATCAATATCTTTATTGAATAGTCAACAATGTGCTAAAGTTTTTTTAACTGTTTTTAAACTAAATCAAACCATAAGTTTTTGTATTACTAATTATATTGAACTCTTGAAAAAAATACCATGCAGAATGGACAAAGATCAAGGGAGAGGGGGAGTTTGGCTTCCACCATGGGGGGGGGGGGGGGGGGGGGGAAGAATAGATGCCCTGGTCAAAATGTAATCCTCAGAGTAGATATTTACAGAAAAAAATATTTAAAAATGTGGTTGCATCCTCTGTTAAGTCCTCCACTTTAACCTTTCAATTTAGCAGGCCAAAACTTTGCTCTTGCTATTTAATGTTTAGATTAACATTCTTATAGTAATGATTGTAGGTAGTGTTAATAATATCAAAATACTAACCTTTACTTTAGGCAACAATGGCTGAATCTGATAAATACCATATAAGAGATAAAGACCACCAACTCTTACTTGAAACTGGAAGGGTGGCAAAAAATACTCTCTAGCTATTAGCAGAATTTTCTCAATAAACTGCAATTAAGAGTAGAAAAAAACAAAGTATAATCTTTAGGCCTACAAATCAATGGTAAAAATTTGGCTTTAAGTTGTTAGCTCTTTAATAATTTGAAATATCTTCTTAAATAAGTTCTAAATAACTATTTAAGAGTAAATATTGCTCCTGTTTCTACGTCCATTAATTTTAGAGACATCTTTAAATGTTCTTTATTTCATTGATATGTTCTGACTCATGAGTCTCTGCCTCCACACAAAGTCAAAATTATAGAAGTAGAAAAAAATAAAAATAAGAGAGATCCAGTCTGTACTTTCCAAAACCTACATTGCAGAGACAGTAGATATTTGAATCTCTGGACATCTCTTTTCCTAATATTTGGTTATCTAACCTTTAATTTTGTGAACCAAAATGTGCAATGCATACCCAGCACGGGAAGGAAACATCATTTGAGTTCAATTTTTAGTCTGATCAAAAGAAAGTATATTGCAAAAACCTAGAAAGCACCCTTTTAATATAAGTATAAAAATATATTTTTCAATATAGTTTTAACTTATGACATATTTATGTAATGATGTAACTTGTCCACAAGCTTCAAAATTCACTGACTCTTGATTTGCAACAATTGATCTGTTTCTTTTTTGGTTTTCAAAAGAAGAAATGTTGAAAATCCACTCTCACAGAGATATGTAGAAGTAGATGCAAATGGATGTATTGGTAATGTGATATGTTTCAATTTCAAAAACACTATTACAAATTTAAATTGTTTTAAAATATTTTTTTTTTAAATTTGTATTTCAGTATTTTTGCCGCAACCTTATAGAAAAACCTTTGAGACCTGCCACCCCTTGGGTTCGCAATCCATGAGTCACGAGCCATGAGTTTGAAACCAAGAATTTCAAGAGTAGATATGCCAAACTGTCTCAATGTAAAGACCTAATATAAAGTTACATAGTTGAGTTGAGAGTTAGGCTAACTTTAATTTAAGTTTAAGTTAAATTAAGCAGTTTAAACGTCAGTTTAAGTACTTTCAGTTTAATGTAAAATCGACAGTACTTTTAAGAAAGTTTAGTCGCTGTAAGTGTAGGGTGACCAAATCATGAACTGGAAAAAACGGGACACACCCAAGGACAGTTGGGGGAATAACCTCCAGCTAAAGAGGGGTCCGGGGGCCTCCCCCAGAAACTGTTTATTGAAATATGCTAATTTTAACAACCGGGTATTTTGAGACCTTGAAATCTTTTAAATTTACCTTCGCTTTTGTAATTTAATTTAAACTCTGAGGCATATCATAAACGAAAACAATAATTTTGCAGTGAATACTTATTTATTTATACATATTTTACGACAAAATACAACACAACAAATTAAATTCATCTAGTCTAGGTTTAAATTGAGGGCATTTGGCTGTTGTCCCAGCCATTGTTAAACCCTCCTTCTTATTTAATATGTGAAAATGTGTTTTGTTTTAGAAACGGGAAATTTTCATTTAGGCGTCCGGAGAGACTTTTTCAGGACACCAGGTACGATCGTTAAAAAATGGGACACTCCCGTTTTTACGGGAAGTTTGGTCAGCCAAGAGTTTTAAAGCCTGTACTGTAGTTGTAGCCATTTTATTTTTTTTTTTTTTAAATTACTAATATTACTAATAAGCAAAATTTAATTAAATTTAAATAAATTATATTAAGTAGGATAATATTTTTTTCATTTATATACAAAAATAAAGTAATTAGATAGTATTAACCCCAAATTTAAATAACGAACCTCTCTTGCTTCTCGTTCTGTATGTCGCCCTGCACATAGGAATGACATATTTTTTTCACGCCACACCTTACTGAACTGTTCATATCGAACTGTGTTTACCTTCAGAAATGCATTCATAAGACGTTTAAAATCTGTTCTCACGCCTGATGTAGGTAGGTATGAGTAAATAATTTGTCGCGGCATTGTTTAAATTGTATAATGTATAAATTGTGATAGTTAAATTTGTTCAGCCTCAAGCCTTCCATAAGTTAATAAAATCTTAACGAATTTACACGACTTTGATTACGCTCAGCATAACGGCAGAAGTCTAAGGCTGATTCCCCACTTTCGATTTCTCAACGCTCACCGATACAAACTAAATCCTTTTTTTAAAATCCGAGATAATAACTATGATCGGCTTTCAGAATAATAAATTCACTTTGCCAATTTACAAAATAAGTTTAGTCGAGGCATCATTGTGTATAATTGACTTTTTTGACATGGTGGTAGTAGTATTGTTTTTGGAAAAAAAAACTATAAAATTTTATGTAAATCTTCGCTACCGGTACTAAAAGTTTAAAGTTATGTCTTAAACTGGGATACGTGGTCCCCTAGGAGCATGGGTCCCCACAGGGGGGAAAGGAGGGCACTTGCCCCCCCCCCCCTGGATTGATTGGATAAAAAAATTTTAGACAAAAGGAGACAAAAAATTTATTAAAGTAAAGAGAAAATAAAGAGAAAGTAACTAAGCTGGTGTCCTGTCCGTTCGTTCACCATACAAATACGCTACAGTAAATTAAAACTACATTAAAACATTACTAAAAAAATTTTGCCCCCCCCCCTGGAAAGTTAATCGATTCCCCCCCCCTAGAAAGTTTTCTGCGGGCGCCCATACCTAGGAGGCGTTTTCAGTTGGACCATGTACGATATGTATATGACAAGCAACTGGAAGATGCTTGTTTTCGAAACTCTCCGTACCCTACTAGAACAACATATATTTGATAAAGTGGACAGATTCTTTGAGGTGCATGCAGTGGCATAGCTAGGGGTGCGGTGCGCACGGGTGACACTTCTCAGGAGGGTGACACCTATTCTTTTAAAAATCTTATTTACAGTAATTTACACACACTGCTCATTCTAACCAAATTCATAAAGGGATAGCCGATCACACGTGTATTTTCCACATATGTAACCAATGAAAATGCGTGCTTAATTTGAAGTTAAAGGTTGATGCGTCAGAAATGATATGACCCTATAATTAAGCGAACAGCTGAATGGGACTTCTTAGAATCTCTTCCAATACTTTCGCTAAGCCTTCAATTGTTTCTTACGTCTGTGTGTCGGTGGATTCATGTAAGCGGAGCTTTCCAAAACCAAGACTTACCAATAACTATTTACGATCCACCATGGGACAGTCACGCTTTCTGATCTGGATCTATTATCAATTTAAAGTGATACGGCGAAGGATGTTGATTTTGATCAAGTGATTGACAGGTTTGCAGCTTTGAATACCAGGAAAAGAAGATTTTTAATAAAATAAATTAAATTTTTAAAATATATAACTTTACGTTGTTAAAACTCTTAAATAAATTTACCCCCTGACCTACAATTTGTTTGTTTTTGTTCTTTCCATTGCTATTCTGTGGACTTACAATAACAAGAAGAAATCCATCGTGAAAGTAGGGAGTAGGGGTGACATCATGAGTTTACCGCACCGGGTGACACCAATGCTAGCTATAACAGGATGCATGGTATATGGCATTAGCGTGTGTACTGGCGGCGCTCTACACTTGAATGCCGTTCTGTTTTGTCAAACTTTAGTTAAGCAAAAATCACCCCCCCCCCAAAAAAAAAAAAATTATTGTGGTACACACTGCACTATTCACCGCCAAGCTTTAATGGTGAAAACCATACCTGATGAGTTGCAAAATGTTGTCAGTGAAGTGATTGCAGCAGTTGTGAACTTCAATCAAATTAAAGTGAATGCACTCAACTTGCGGTTGTTTTTTCTCCTAAGATGAAAAGAAAGTGGTTCCGGGTTGGAAACACTCTGGTTGCACTCCCACGTGAGGTGTCTTTCCAAAGGGAAAAGTTTGAAGAGGGTTTTCTTAATACGTGAATAAATTCACTAGTTTTTTTGCAAGACGCGAAATAAGACATGAACCAAAAATGATCTGTCTTTTTCTTCTCTTCTTCTATATTTTGAAGGCCCGCGATCAATATCTTTCTGGCTCTTATGTTTGTAGAAGGGTTCGCGATGTATCAGCAAGTGGTTTTGACGAGAACAATTCACTGGTTGCAAGGGCGACTCAGCGATGGGATTAGGAACTGGGGGTTGGGAGGCAAGAGAAGCAAACGTGTTTTCGCCTCACCTGAAGCTTTTGGAAGCTTGTTCCAGTCCCTGATTATCCTTGGCAGGAATGGGCAGCTCCTGTACTGTGTTCTTTCTGTTATGGGCCGAACTGCCTGTCATGACCTCGTCGCGGTCGAGGGATGATTTTCTTCTTATAAACCTGGCATTAAAGGGTCGACGAATTTAAATCCTTGAATTCTACCAACAAAGGGTTGCTTGGACAAGAGATCTTAGTGCTTCAGTGTTATGAAACATTAACAGCGTTCAAAATGAAGCTCGAAACTATGGCATGCTTACTTAGAAAAGAATAACGTTGCCCCATTTCCACAGTTAAACACATATAGGCCTATTAATGAAAATGAGGTTTACGTCGATGACAATATCCTTGATGTGATGAAACAACTTGTATCAATTCTTAGCGAAGACATTTTTCTTTTTTTTTTCATGATGTATAAGAATTTTAAAATTTTATATTGTTTTATCAACATCCATGTGTACGCTACAGGTGATCTGCATTTGGGGGATAATTTAATTGAAGAACAATTTATTGATCTGATAAGTGATGGGGGTGTAGAACATGTTTTCCGTGAAATGTGTTGTAGTGATTTTAGGATTGAAATGGCGCAATCCCAATGTTGCCAAGATGGCTCTAGGAGTGTTGATTCCATCTCTAGCCACCCAAGAGTGCGAAACGGCTTTTACCAAACTAATTACTTTATATCCTAAAAAAAATACTGAAATACATTAGACACGAGAATAACATAAGAGTTGCACTGGTCAAAACAAAGCCAAACTTAGAAGAAATTGTTACGGCAAAGTAGATGCATCAATCCTATTAAATGTACATTTGATGACTAAGTTTTGCCATTTTCTGAATAAACAATTTTTGTGAAAAACAAAATGTTTTGGTAACAGAAGCCTGTATGTTAATTGAAATTAATTATAAAGGATCCGCGAGTATTAAATAAAAATTAAAGAAACCGTCACGCAAAAAAATCCTTTAAAAGTTTGAGAATCAATGGGCTAGGTCAGCGGTTCTCAGCCTGTGGTCGCCTAAGACCATCTGAAAACACATATGCTTACAGCGATGAAGTAGCAACGAAAATATTTGTCTGGCTGGGGGTCGCCACGACACGAGAAACTGTATTAAAGGGTTGCGGCACTAGAAAGGTTGAGAACCACTGGGCTAGGTATAAGGAAATGAGCGAAACAAAGTAAGGGAAACCTGAAAAAAAAAGGACGCAACAAAAGGCTTAAACATGCGGATCATCAAATACATGGAGAGTATCGATATTTCATCGATTCCGATCATTGTAATCGGTTAGAAGCGTTTTGGTTGAAAAAAAAAAGGGGGGGGGGGGGCATTGTCACCCACCACCGAGAGATGCCTGAAAGAAACTTTGCAGTGGCTACTGCCAGATGACGCCTAGTGACGTATGTACCGGTACGTGTTTTATTTATTTTTACCCAACCCATTATTTTATTATTGTTAAAATGTATTCGCTACTTGTTTGGATTTAACGCAGAGCAGACGAGGCAAAACTACATTTGGAAAGGGCGCCTAGAAATGGAAGGAACCACTGGTGTAGCCAACAAAATACGTAACAGGCAGACGGTGGACTTTATGCTACTACTACTAGTAGCATGGGCGCCCGAAGAAAACTTTCTAGGGGGGAGGGGAGGGGGGGCAAAAAAATCGATTAACTTTCCAGGGGGGGGGGAGGAATT